TGATAGTTGTTGAGTGTGATAATAGTCAATGCTATTATTTAAAAAGACTAGAAAAAATAATAGATAAATGTACACATCTCAAAGAGAAAGTTACCTTGTTTGGGATTTGGTTATGCACTGAAGAATAAGTTTGGGGTAATTTGAAATCAAGCTTTCCTGTTTAGCTTATTACTAACTTTTGGAAGAGAGTTAGTTACTCGTAATTAAAAAGCACTATCAGGTACTCATTGATGAATTATCAGGCAATTAATGCTTAATTTTTCGAGTCACATACAAGTCAAGAGTATGTATCTACTGCAATTTGTTTTATCAGTTTGCCTAAGGTTCAAGTTTATAATGTTTGGTGCTCAACTGCTCAACATATCTGCAGTCAATTCTTGATGAGGTCCTAAGTCCTATTATAAGGGTGGAGTTGTCAATGTCGTCCTGAGTGAGCCTAGCTTATTGTTCTTATGAACAAATATGGCTTAGAATATCCTGATTCCTATACGAAGCCTTCCAGCAAACTCTCTGTTGGCCCAAAATTTATATGCTAAGACCTCTATGGATCAAGTGTTCAGGTCACCAGGCTGAGCTCTATACCACGCACCAGGGACGCACTCACACACACATATCTCCAGTTGGTACGGAACAAGTACATATGTTTCTCAGCGCTCTTGCTGAAGCCTGCAGCTACGTTCGATCAATTCATGTTATCTTATTATTGTTTTTTATTTCTGATTGGAGTCTTGGATTGACAGATTTGCCCATTTATTCCTACTATGAGATATCCAGGTACGAAACATTGAACTCTATGTGCTAGTTGTAGCTGCCTAATGATCCAATTTCAGACATAATAATTTGTCAGCACATGTTAGAGGTTAGAAGCTTCAGAACAAAAAGGTCTTGCTTTTAATTCAAATTAAAGTGCAGTAAGATTGAAAATAATTGTAGAACAGAGGCTGAAAGTAGTCACAGACTCAGAAGATATATACGTAATTTGGTTTTATAAGCTTTAGTTGTTGGCCTTCTTACCTTCCATTTGGAAAAGAATCATTCTACCTTCTGTTCAATTCAGAAGTATTAGCTTAGGCATTTTTCATTTATACATCTACATCTCTATGTTTGTGCTATAAAAAAAAAAGTTGGCGTTTGATCCTTAATACACACAAATTGGACTAGTGAAATCGAGGTAATGCATGCATACCTGATTCATGACCAGACTACAGTTTTGGAGCTGTTACCAGATCGGATTATAAGAAGAAATTCGTAGTGAGAAGCTAGGCAATCTTCTGCCAAGTAATCTTGCATTTTAGATGCCTGGATACAATTTGCAGCATTAGGTGAGCAAATGGTTTTTGCAATGATACACTCCCTAAGATTTCAACTCTGACAAGTTAATATTGCTTTCAACAATGAGTTGTGACTACTATTTATGCTAATGTTCAAGATATTGAAGTAACATTTGATTTCTAAAAGCTTCGACCACATTGCTTGCACCAATTTGGGTAAATAAAATATGTATTAATTGTCGAATTTATAACCTCACACTACTAGAAACAGGCGGATTTCCAACGGACTTGTTTTTCGTCGGAAATTTACGACGGATTTTTATTCCGTCGAAAATTTACGACGGATTTCCTACGGAATAAAAATCCGTTGAAATTTATGGGCCTTCCGACGGATTATTTCGTCGGAACCGTAATGTTTCGAAGGAAATAAAATCAGTCGGAGATTTCTGACGGAATATTCCGTCGAAACAATTATTTTCCGGCGGAAAATAAACCCGTCGGAAATTTCCGACGGAATATTCAAAACCTAAAAAAGTAACCCTAAAAAAGTAACCCTAATAATGCTTCAAAACCCCGGTTCCCCCCCCCCTTTTAGTTCCTATTTCTCTCTCCTCTCTCTCTCTCCCCGCCTCCATCTCTTCTCCTCTCTCTCTCCTCATTTCTCTTCTCCTTCCTCCTGCTCCTTTTCTCTTCTCTCTTTTCTTTCTTTTAATTTTCCTCCTCCTCCTTTTCTCTTCTCTCTCCGCATCCCTCACCGGCCATAGCACCGGCCTATCACCGAGCATAGCAACACCGAGCAACCACCGTCGCGAGGCCCTACACCATTCTCAAGGTTTGTTTTTTTTTTTTTTAGATCTTGTAATTTAGGTATGGCATTGTAATATTAGTTTATAAAATTTAAAATAAAATTGTATATTAATTTATTTCTTTGAATTTTCGTTTGTTAATTATCGTTTTTGTTAATTTTTTTTTATTGAAATTCTGATTAATATGTAGATCTGGTTTTTATTTTATTTTGTGAGGTAAAATTTTATTATGTTGTATTAATTTTCGTATTTTTGGGGTTAATTTTCGGTTTTTTGGGATTAATTTCGGTTTTTACTGAATTTTTGGAATGGTGGTGGTGTGTGGTGGTGTCGGTGGTGGTGGGGTAGGGTGGGCTGTTGTGGTGGGGTGGTGTCGGTGGGCTGTTGTGGTGGGGTGGTGTCGGTTGGCTGTTATGGTGGGGTGGTGTCGGTGGGATTGTGGTGGGTCTGGGTGGGTAGGGGGCAGGGGGTGGCATGGTGGGTAGGGGGCAGGGGTGGGCTGGTGGTGGCAGGGGGTGGGCTGGTGGGCAGGGGGTGGGCTGGTGGTGGGTTAGGGGGGTGGGTTCAGGTAAGGTGGGTGGGTGGGTTTAGGCTAGGGCTAGTGGTGGGGGTGGTGGGTGGGGCTGGTAGAGGGGCAGGGGGTGGGTTGGTGGTAGGGGTGGTGGCTGGATAGGGTGGTTGGGGTGGTGTTAGGTTTTTTTTTTTATTTTTTTTATATTTTTTAATGTTATTTCTGACGGAATTCCCGTCGGAAGTTTCCGGCGGATTTGTATTCTGTCGGAAATTTCCGACGGACTTTCCGGTGACCGGAATTCCTTTTCCGACGACGAACGTTCGTCGGAAATTCCGTCGGAACAGTGTTTTTCGACGGAATTCCGACGGAAAAAGCTGTTTTTTCCTACAAAAGTTTTCCGACAACTTGTACCGACGGAAATTCCGTCAAAAACAACCTTTTCCGACGGAATTTTACCGTCGGAAATGGCCTGTTTTCTAGTAGTGTATAAAGTCACAATATGAGTTTTCCACTAACTCTACCAAATTTGTTTGATTAAAAAAGCAAGTCCCTCCCTAGGATCTTTGTAATTTACTCTATATTTTTATCGTAAAGACTCTTACCCTTTGTTTCAATATACTCGGTATATGTTTCTTTCATTAGGCCAAGCTTGTTGGTTGTTTGCAGATTAGGAACAATTAGACATATGGTGTAAACTTTGATAGATTTATGGTTGATATATCTTGGATTGAAAATATAAACTTCCAATTCAGGTACTCTCAAATTAATTGTTCCATTCTGATTAAGTGGAAATAAGCAATCAAAATACGCCAGCCAAATATACCCGAGTCTTTTTAAAGGTTAATTACCTCCTAAATTTTTGGACTTGATGATAGCTACCTAAGGTAATTCTCTTTTCTCATTGTGAAAAACAAGTTTTGTTTCTCACGTGGTATGTGTCAAGATTTGGAGCTTCCACTCATGACACATATACGGTCCCCACCATTGAAAAACATTACATTATTTTCCAAAATGCCATTATGAAAAACAAAAGTGTTTCTCATAATGAGGAAGTGGGGCTCCCTCACCTACCTACGTGGCTAAATCCTACTAAATCTCCGCACTTTGCTAAATATCCTAAATCTTGATTCCAGAATTATCATTGTGGATTTGTGGACTTTGAGCACAATTTAAGGCCACCAAAGAATTAAGCAATTTACTTTATTAAAATCGAAATTCACCATTTTTTTTTTTGTTTTGTTTATTTTTTTTTTTGGTTCCATTCTGGTTCACCGTTTAGGCTAATTCGGATTTTGGGCTCAGTTTTGGGTGCTTAGGATCCAGTCTCATTCCAATTGTTGTTGTGAGAGATTGAACACACGGTCATCGCAACCAAGTACAACCTCAATTACCACTGCACTAACAACCAATTGTCGTTAGTGTCGGACATGATTATACTTTGTTTACTTCTTGATACGGAGTACATGGTTTGGTTTAACTCTTTTTCTTGTTGTCTATTACTTTCTCCATTTCTCAATCATAATTGTATTATTATGACTTTTTACATTATTTTCTTGTATTAACTTTGACCACGGCATGGTTAATATGTAGCAGTAAAAATCATCATCTAATTATTGTTTTTAGGTTAATCTATGTAGTAGATTATTTTTATAAAAATATATATACTAGTATTTTTTCTTCTGATTTTTTTTATTATCATTACATTTAATTTAAAGTTAATCAAGTTCATTAGCAAATGTGAGAGGTGAAAGTGATGTAACTATTGTGAAACGACTGAAGTACGATTAACTTAATTTTTTTGTATAATCATTAGCAAATGTGAGAGGTGAAAGTGATGTAACTATTGTGAAACAACTGAAGTACGATTAACTTAATTTTTTTTATATAACATTGTAAATTAAATATCTCAAGTAATGATAATGTATGACAAAAAATTATGAAAATTGCATATTTGAAAACTAAAAACTAAGACGGATTTAACAAGGTCCCACGACCGTTGTATTACATTAAGGTGAGTAAATCATCCCCTTAGCTTGGATAAAAACAGTTTTAACATACAATTTGTTGATGAAGCCGATAGAATAATTGTTGAAGTTGAGAGCTAAGAGCATCCATTTCACTTACAATGTGTTTGGATTGAAGAAAATGGAGGGAAAGAAAGGGAAGGGAAATGGAGAGATGAGATACCTTTCAGTTGGATAATAAATCAGGAAGGAAGGGAATTGGAGGGGAGAGAAATGGAGAGATAAAATTGTAGGAAATTGATCCCTCCAACAATGGAGAGATTTGGAAGGAAAACTTAACGTTCTTCCCTCCCCTCCTCTTCTCCTCCTTCCCCTTCTTTTCGTCCTTCCCCTTTCTTTATCCAAACACACTGTTAAACAACTAAGTACTACTAGCAATGCAATAGAAGTTGGTGAAGTTGTAGTTTACTAGTACTGTAGTACACGAAGGCGTGGAGCCGAAGCTTGAACAATGGACCAGATGCAAAGCACATAGTTAAGCTGCTATTTTCAAGTTCAAAGTTGTAAACATCAAGCTTGATTGTCGGAGGGAAGGAAGACTTTAATTAAAAAGTAGTTTGAACATGCAGATTTGTTCGTACAATGTAAAATATGATCATTCAACTATTGCATAACTTTGCTTTTTCTTGTCCATTTCTATTCTATTTCATGGAAACCTACTGGAAGGTATTGATTTCTATTCAAAAGTGGAGCCCTCATTTCGACAATAAATCTACGTCTTCCTCCGGTCTCCCCATTCTCATCACATCTCATTGAAATTCTATTCCCAAATCCCAATGGCCGAACTCGGAATCGTCCTTGCCGAAAGGCTCATTGAAGTTACCGGGTCTGCAATCATCAAAGAGATTTGTGACAAGTGGGGTTACAAATCTCAACTCCAAGACCTCATCAAAACTGTCTCTACTATCAAGAACGTCCTCCTTGATGCTGACTCCAAGAGGAAGCTCCCCTACGAAACACGAGGCTATATCGAGGATCTCAAGGCTGCTATTTATGATGCTGATGATCTGTTCGATGAGTTCTTCATCCTTGCTGAGCTCAAGTTGCTTGATGGCAACAAGGATGATAAATTCCTTAAAAAGGTACGCCGCTTTTTTTCTGGTAAGAAGAAGGAGGTAAGTCAAGCTTATAGAATGTCTCGTCAGGTTAAGGACATTAAGAAGCAGTTGGATACTATTGTTAGTAACCATCACAAATTTGGGCTTAGTGTGGACTATAATCCTATTTGTAGAAGGAGGGAGGAAACTTGCTCCTACGTGGATGCAGGGGATATCATTGGGAGGGAGGACGATAAAAAGGTTGTCATTGATATGTTGTTAGGTCCCAATGATGTTCAGGAAAGTTTCCGCTTTGTGACTATTGTGGGAGTTGGAGGATTGGGTAAAACTGCTCTTGCCCAACTTGTGTGTAACGATAACGAGGTTGAAGCCGAGTTTCCGGATCCCAAGTTAAGGTTGTGGGTTTGTGTGTCCGATCAAGATGGGGAGCAGTTTGATGTCAAGGTCATTCTTTGTAAAATTCTAGAATTAGTTTCTGGTAAAAGGCCTGACGATACCTCCTCAATGGAGCTGGTGCAAAAGCAATTTCAAGAGCAGTTAAGAGGAAAGAAGTACTTGCTTGTTCTTGATGACGTATGGAATGAAGATTGTGAGAAATGGCGTAATCTGTGCAGGTTCTTAACACTGGGTCAAGAGGGTAGTCGGATTGTGGTGACTACACGTTCGGAGATGACTGCAAAGATTATTGGAGAAAAACATACACACAAGCTGCAAGGTTTATCCGAAGAGAATTCGTGGCTCTTGTTTGAATCTGTAGCATTTGATAAAGGGGAACACGAGCACGCAAGTCATCTTGAATTAGTTGAAATTGGGAAGAAGATTGTTGAAAAATGCTACAACATCCCACTTGCTATAAAGGCGGTAGGAAGCCTTCTATTTGGGCAGCCTGTGAATAAGTGGCAGACATTTGAGCATAGCGGATTTGCTGGAATTGGAAAAGGTGATAATGAAATTATGTCTATACTAAAGCTTAGTTATCACAACCTTAGACCCTCTTTGAAGAATTGTTTTAGCTACTGTGCACTGTTCCCCAAAGATTTTAGACTCGAAAGGAAAGAGTTAATTAGCCTTTGGATGGCACAAGGATACATTGCGTCGCTGGACAGAGATCAAAGCGTAGAAGATGCAGCAGAGGAGCATTTCCTGATTTTGGTACGCAGATGTTTCTTTCAGGATGTGAAGAAGGATAGATATGGTGATATTGGGTCTGTGAAAATCCATGACTTGATGCATGATGTTGCTCTAGAAGTGGGGAGGGAGGAAATAGCCATGGTGACTTCTAATACAACCAAATTGGGTGATAAAGTTCGTCATGTGTATTTTGGTCGTGGTACCTTTTCACAAAATTACTCATTGAAGAGTAAGATGCGTTCGTTTATTTCAAGGGGTAAATTAGGTTATGTGGTGAATGCACATATTGACAACTGGATGTGTGTAAGGGTGTTGGTTTTGCGGGGTGCGGGTATAGTACGGTTGCCTGATTCAATTGGTAAGCTACTGCATTTAAGGTACCTTGACCTTTCTTTTAATTATAATTTAGAGGGACTATCTGATTCTATTAGTAGACTACATAACTTGCAGACATTAGATTTAAATCATTGCGGTGGAAAATTGAGGGAGTTGCCAAAAAAATTTAGCGAATTGATAAAACTTAGGCATTTGGATTTAAATAGTTGTAAAAAGTTAACTGGTATGCCTTGCATGGATAAATTGACTAATCTTAGGTACTTGAATATAAGTTATTGTCAAGAGTTGAGTAGTTTGCCTTCGAGCATGGATAAATTGACAAGTCTTAGACACTTTGATTTAAGAGGTTGTTATAGCTTAACTAGTATTCCTACAACCATGGGTCAGTTAGCAAGTCTTAGGCACTTTGATTTAAGTGAGTGTCACAATTTAACTAGTATGCCTATAGGCATGGATATGTTGACAAGTCTTAGACACTTTGATTTAAGTAGGTGTGATAAGTTAACTAGTATGCCATCAGGCATGGGTAAGTTGACTAATCTTCGGGTGCTACCATTGTTTGTGGTGGGTATGGAAAGGAGAGTTTCTATAGAGGAGCGATGTATGGGAGACCTGAAAGACCTAAAACCCCTGACCAACTTGATAGGTGGCATAGAGATCAAAATCGGCAAAAACTACATGAATGATGATGGAGGAGGAGGGTATTTGAAGGGTATGAAACATCTCACTGAGGTTGAAATTCTATTTTCTTATGAAAATGATGGATGTGTAGAGTGGGAAGGGGTGATGGAAAAACTAGAACCACCTTCGAATCTCAAGAAATTTGTCTTGAGGTATTACAAGAGTACTAAAATTCCAAGTTGGGGTAGAGCACAGGATAATTGGGCTATTTCTTTCCAACACCTTGTCAACATTCATTTTAAATGTTGTAGCAACTTGGTGCAGATTCCACAGTTGAGTAAACTGCATTTTCTGAAATCTCTATCTCTTGATAGATTGTGGAAGTTGGAGTACATAGAAAATAAAAGCAGCTACACTGGCAATGAACGTGAAGAATTGATGACATTCTTCCCCTCCCTTGAAACTCTCGAAATTTGCAAACTCAAAAGTTTGAAAGGATGGTGGAGGGAGGAGGATTTGGTTGAGGGTGATGATGACCATATCTTGAGGAGTAGCTTCACATTTCCTCGTCTCTCCAAATTGGTTATCTATATGTGCCCCAAGTTAACATCATTTCCTTCATCTCCAAGCCTCGAAAATTTGGACTTGAATGACGTGGGTCTTCTCAAGTCAATGCACAGCTCCCAATTTCTTAATAACCTCCACATAAAATCCAATGGGAAGGTGGTGAGTTTATCAGAACTAGAGGATGTATTTCGGAGATACACTTCTTCCTTACAAAGCCTTCGAATTTCTTATTGCCCAAATTTGCAGAGACTCGGAAAAGGGGGGTTGGAGCATCTCACTGCCTTGGAGTCATTAGTGTTGGATCGCAATAATCAACTTAGCTTCTCTGAAGACGAGGCCACTGATGATGGCATGCCTTGGAAGTCCCTTCATCACTGTCTCCGTTCCCTGACTATCATTGAATGCAGTGCCATTAAATCACTTCCTGAATCAATGCAGAAACTCACCTCCCTTGAGGAACTTGAGATCTTTAAGTGTCCAGATGAATTAAAAGAAAGTTGTAAACAACCCGGCGGGAAGGACTGGCCCAACATTCAACACATCCCCAGCATTACAATTAACTGAGTATGTGCACTCCAATCAATTCATTCTATTTTTGATTCATTCTATATATTTTTGATTATTTATGTATAAGCTCTCTGCTTTAAAAATAGTTTGTCATATACTTTGCATCTCTCATTCTACCCGACCTTTAATTTGTCTTCAGCCCACGTTTTTGTGTGCCTTTTCATTTATTTTAGAACTTAACATAATGCAAAATTCTATCTAGTCCATCCCTTCCTCGAATCAACCACATGTCATTAGTTTTTTAGCAGACTAGTGTATGGAGTTTCGTCTAATACAGTAATCTGTGATCCTTTTTTAACTTCTAACAGGTCATGATTGCTCGATCTGCTAGTTGTGCTGGTCAATTGTTGTCTTGCTTATTATCAGCTGGCATAGACAATTTTTTATATCACCTTCAGGTATATATCCAACTCGATCACTTTTCTGTTTAGTTTATGTACTAGTATTAGCCATTGTTGTTTTTCATTTTTCCATACATCTACATCTACATGTTTGTCGCCTTTGTGCAACAACTTTTATCTTGTGTGATTGTGTGTACGTTTGCTCCCTAATAATAGAGCTATTGTTGCTGGTTTAATTTAATTATAAAAATTCGTTGTGAAAACTAGGTGAACTTTCTGCCATATGTTATCTTAAGAAGCCTAAATGTAATTTGCAGCTAGAATTAGGTTAGTAAATGTGGGGGTTGCAGTATAGGAAGACTATAAATTTATATTAAAAGGTGTTTTATTTAGCTAATTTTTTATTAGTTTAGTACATATGGATTAATTAGAATATCCTGATTCCTATAACTAGCTTTTTGCTCCACCAGTACTTAGTATATCTGAGCAAAACATGATGCAAAATCATTTAAGGTAAAGATCGCGAACTTTTTGCAGCTTCAGTTTTTCTTAATGTAGCAGCTTTCTTGTTAGCAGGAGTCTTAGTGTCTTACTTATTTCTGTATATGCTACACAGCTCCTTTCAGAAGGAAGTTCAAGCAGACTCTCTGTTGTAACGCCTCCTTCAAGAGCATTGATACAATAGCTATGGCCCTCAATCTGATGTTAACACGTTCGTTGGTCAAGTATTCAGATCACCAGACCAGGCTGAGCTCTATGCCTCCCGGCCTACCCACATTTCTCCAATCGTACAGAACAAGCTAATTACGTACGAAGTATGTTTCTCAGCTCGCATGTTGCAGCCTGCAGGCTGCAGGAATATAATTACATTTTTTTTAGTTGTAATAAGATTTTATTTATAAACCAGTTTTCAAGATCCCGGGCATTGGGAAGGCCCTTCCTAGAAGGTAAGTCCCTCCCTAGGGTCTTTGTATTGTACTCGATATTCTTTGTTCAATACAAATTTCTTACCTTTTTTTTTTTCTCTTTGTTACAATGTACTACATACAAAGTATATGATAACCTTAGACTTGTGATGTAAATCTAAATCAACTTTTGGTTGTCTAACAATTGATGTATTTTGGATTGATAGTATATAGTCTAATAAATCAACTTGTCGTCTCAGACAATACTCATTTGAACGCGAGAATTGTAAGATGACTTAATGTAATACTCAGTATATGTTATTCTTTTGCGTTAATAGTAAGATGACTTGAAGACTTGCCCGGCCTGACCTGTACCCATATGTGATATGCCATATCTAATCCCAACATGTCTATGACGTAACCAATAAAAAAAAAACATTTCAATGCTATCACTCTTATCAATATATGCGGACAATGCCACATCTAGAATTAATGAGATATTAGAGGACTAAGGTATTAACTAATTCTTTGGTTGAGCATAAATCAAATGGAGGAATCAGAAAGTCATGGAAATCTGTTTGTAAATACAGTAATAATTTCTCACACAATAGTTGTCCCATTATGAAATTCTGAGATCGTTTAAAGTTTCAAATAATAAACAAATCAAAATTTACGTAGCACTCACATACTATACTAAAGTCTTAAATCAACTAACCTATTAAGCACGGAGGTGCCCCACAACAATATCTTTCTTGATACTGCCAAAAAAAAAAAAAATTGAGAATTTTGTTTGTGATCTTGTGGAAATGTAGTGTATACTAATTTGGTAACTTTCCATGATATCATCCCGTTAATAAATGAATTGGGTTATTTTTTTATCACTTTACTAAGCAAATAATAACAATAACACAGATTAAGACTGAAATAATCTGCTGTAGGGAAATTATGTTTACCAAGGATTCAGTTAAATAAAATCCACAGGCTGTTCCGTCAGAGGCGTTTCACGATTCATAGAATCATAATTGGAAGCTCCTCCTTCCTGTAGGCAAATTATGTTCTCAGCTAATTGGAAGAAGTATCTGCTTGTTTTGGATGATGTTTGGAATGAGGATTTTAATAAGTGGCACAAGTTGAAAATTTTGTTAATCGGAGGTGGAAGAGGTAGCCGAGTTATTGTGACCACACGCTCTAAGAGCTGATGAGAATGACATAGTTCGTGCATTGAAGATTAGCTATTATTATCTTCCGTACCATTTGAAGAGCTGCTTCAGTTATTGTGCTGTATTCCCCGAGCATTACAAGATCAAGAAGGAGGATTTGATCAGTCTCTGGATGGCACAAGGGTTTATTGTTCCATTAGGCGGAGAGAGTCTTGAAGATGCCGGTGAGGAGTACTTCATGAATTTACTGCAAAGAGGCTTCTTTCAAGATGTAGAGCGCGCTGACAATGGTGAAATTCTGACATGCAAAATGCATGATCTGATTCATGATCTCGCTATAGAAGTAGCTGGAGCAGAAATCTTGTCATCCAGCTATAATACAAGCTATTTTGATAAGAAAACTCGGCATCTATTCGTCAATAGTACTGTTGGTCGAAAAGATTTTGGAAGATATTTGACCACAATGAAAAGAATGCGTACAATTTTGAACATAGGGTACCCCAACCCTTTAGAAAGCCCTGATGTGCTGCTACCAAAAGTGAGATATTTAAGGGTATTAGATTTACATGGGGCTTCATTTGAAAAGCTACCAAACATGATAGGTGAATTGTTGCATTTAAGATATCTTGACCTCTCTTGTAATCGTAGTTTATCTGTGTTGCCCTTGTGCATTACCGAGCTTTATAACTTGCAGACATTCTTATTGCGTGGTTGTGAGTCACTAAAAGAATTGCCGAGAGACTTCAGAAAATTAGTTAATCTTAGGTGTCTAGATATATTTGATTGTAATAGTATGACACATATGCCTCCGGGAATGAATAGTATGACCTGTCTGAATAAGCTAACTATGTTTTTAGTTGGCGGTACAAGCAGTGCTTGCTGTTTGAGGCCAGTAGGTGCTGGTGGACTTAGCGACTTAAAGTATCTCAACAATCTCACTGGAAGTATGGAAATCAAGGTCCATAGAGGTTTAACATATGATGCAGCAGAAGCCAAGAAAGGGGGGCATCTGATAAACAAGCAAAATTTACGGGGCATAAACATATGCTGGACGCAAAAGCTTTGTGGAATGGAAAACCCCAGGTTTATTGAAGATGACAGTGAGGGTACTAATGCAGAAGCATTACTTCACGGCCTGCAACCCCACCCCAATCTAAAATTGTTTGGATTGTGGGATTATCCAGGTGTGAGGTTTCCGAGCTGGGGGAGCTCATTGATTAATTTTGAAACTTGTCTCCCGAATATTGTTGAAATTGAACTTTATGGATGTAAAAGCTTGGAGCATCTTCCATTATTGAGCCAACTTCGTTATTTGAAATCCCTTGAACTTGTTGGATTAATCAAATTGGAATACGTGGAGAGTATTTATGGAGACGAGGCACCCAAAGCATCAGTAGTGTCAAGAAAAGCAGTATCAGTAGCAGTCCCCCGGTTATCTTACCTGCATATAAGGTTGTGCTGGAACCTGACAGATATCCCTCTCTGTACAAAACTGGAAAAATTGGAAAGCAGATTCAATTAAGCATTGGGTCCAATAACTTGACCAAGAAGTGCGAGGAGATGCGTTGTTGATGCAAGGTCTTCCTCCACAGAATCAAATAGGCTGTACCCTGGTGATGATTCTCCATCAGCATCAAGTACTCGACAGACGCAGCAGGAGCAACAGCAGCAGCAAATACCAGGAGGATGAAGGAAGTTAAGATAGATGAAGTAGGGTATCTGAAATCCTTGCCCCACGAGTCTTTTCAGAGCCTTTCTCATCTGGTGGTAAGAGGTGACCATGATATGGAAAGTTTAACAGAAGAGGCAGGGGAGGTGTTCCGAAGTGGCCGTCTGTCCTCTCTACACTCCCTTGTAATTTCTGACTGCTCCAAATTGAAGAGGCTATCAGGAGAGGGAGTGTGGGAGCATCTCACCGCCCTTGAGAGCCTACATCTGAAGTTGCTTTCTGAGTTGGAGTTGGATGATGATTATGGAGATCTCAACACTCGAGAATGCACAAACGAGGATAATGATGGCACTGATATTGACATTCCCTGGAAATACCTTCATCAGACTCTGCATTCCTTGGTATTATGGTACCTCCCTAAGCTGGTGAAACCTCAAAAGGGAATGAACCGCTTGACTGCCCTTCAATTCCTCCAAATTACTAACTGTGACAATATTGAATCCCTATCGTCATGGATAGCCTGCTTCTCATGTCTCAAATCCCTGTAATTCGGAATTGCCAACGACTGAAATCACTGCCAGAAGAGATCTGTCACTTCCTTACAACAGGGATGCTCGCCAGTGTTAAAAGAAAGATGCCAGGAATCAATTGGTGCTGATTGGCCCAAAATCCAACACATCCCTCGCATTGATGTCTAAAGGAAAATACAAAGGTAATTATCATTCTTGCTTGTGGTTTATTTAATTTGGTCCGTTAGAAAAAAAGATTTAAGTATTGATCATTTTTCATAGGTGAGCGTAGGATTCTGCAGCAGCTGGGATGATAACCACTTCTTTAAGCAGACTTACGCATTATCATGCAGATGTGAGTGTCACCAGGATGACTACCTTCAAATGCGGTGATAGCTTATGAACGTTTTAATGGCCGAAGGAGAATTGCTTCAAAGAAGAATAATCTGGAACTAGCAGTGCTAGTCCTGGATGTATATTACTTGCTAATTGGCTACATTGCTATACTTGATTATTGCCTCTCGTTTTCTACGGTCTAATTATTGGTATATACGTAACAAAAGTGTACTATGCTCCAGTGTCTTTGGTCAGTCCCAAAGAAATTATTTCTTGTTCACTGACTTTATTTTTTCGATGTGACTCAGGTAGGGCTGCATCCAGTTATGGTTCTGCAAAGTTGTTTGGTGTGACTTGATGCTGATCTTGCACCCATTACTTGAAACGTCGCTTACCTTCCACAAAGAAAATGAAAAATATCAGTGTCGCTGTCAAGCTGGGGCTCAAGTTAAGTAAACCAAGGAAAACAAAGGTTAGTACTTACTTGTGCTTCTGATCTCTAGTGAATACAACTTGTAAAATTAAGACAATTTGGTTACATTCCTCAATTATTCATCACATTCATTACAAGCTGAAAGAGTAAACTAATGATTAATTTTTTTACCCATTCAGAAAAAATTTCATATGTAAACATGTTTGTAACCTTTTTAATCGAGAAATGAGAAGAACGAATGATCAAATCAAAGAGAGTATTTATTTATTTTAGGGAAATTCTCATCGGTAACATTGAATTTTTTAAATTTCTCAATGGTGAGAATATGTTTTCCTTTAAATATATAGGTGAGGAATCTAGTGAGGAGAAAACGTAAAACATATTTTCTAAATTTCTCTGGTGAGAATATGTTTTATTAAAATCATGTCACCGGTCACCTGGGATTGCTGGAGGAAAGCGCATATCAAAGGTGGAACTATTAGATAATAATCAAAAGTTGTGATTATTCAAAGTAAATCGCCTAAAGTTATTATTCAAGTGAATTATTTCTAATTACTCTATAATAAACCACTGTAAAAAAAAATTTGAATATAATGGGACTAACTTCAAATGAGTAAAAACTGACAAATAAAACGATTAGCTGTGTAGATCGAGTACGGAAAAGTAAATAGCTATAAAATGATGGTACTAGACAACCTGTCTTTCAATTATTGTGGGCCTGTGGGGGGAACAAGCCTGAAAATTTGATGAGGATAAAGCTTGTCTTTTGAAAAATCCTAAACATTCACACCTAAAAAACTTACTCCCTTATTGATTCGTTTGCATTTCCTTGCATTCCTCAAAAACACAATTAACCCAGAAGAGAGAAGAGTGAGAGAGAGATGGATGTAGCAGGAGGGCTTTCACTGGTGCAAACCATCCTTCAATTGCTGGACTCTGCTGTTTGGAAGGAAACTCGATCTGTATTGGGTGTGAAGTCCCAGCTTCATAAACTCAAGAAGACTATGTCCACCATCGATTCCATCCTACGTGAAGCTGAAGAACAAGAGCGGCTGCACCACAGTCATTCCAGCTACCCTGAGCGTGACAGACTTGAGAGGCTTAAGGAAGCTCTTTACCAAGCCGATGACTTGTTTGACGAGGTTACCACTCTTGCTCATCGCAAGCAGCTCATGCCTGGCAACAACTTGAGTAAAGAGGTATCCCTTTTCTTCTCTCGCTTTAATCAGCTTCGTTCTGCTTTCATTTGGTCTCGGGAGATCAAAAGCATCAGGGAAAGGTTGGATGATGTTGTCAAAGATCATCAGCTTGCTGTTGGGTTTAGACACCCGGTTGTTCTCAAGGATAGCACGAGGGAAACTCACTCATATGTGAATCTGGAGAATCTGGAGAATGATGTGATTATTGGGAGGGATGATGATAAGAGGTTTTTGATTGATATGTTACTAGACACTACTGTTGAGGGGAATGTTTCTGTTGTCAGCATTGTTGGGATTGGAGGGTTGGGTAAAACTACTCTTGCCCAACTTGTCTATAGTGATGACAAGATTAAGAAAGAATTTCCATTGAAGATGTGGGTTTGTGTCTCTGATAATTTCAATGTCAAAGCACTTGCTGGTCAAATTCTTGCAGCTGCCACCAACCAGGCTAATCAAAGTGATGGCCTAAGTATGGACCAGCTTCAGATAAAGCTTAGAGAAGGAATTGATAGGAACAAGTATCTACTTGTTCTGGATGATGTTTGGAATGAGAATTCTGAAGAATGGAGGACAATGAAAAATTTGTTGGTTGGAGGTGGGAAGGGTAGCAGAATTTTGGTGACTACGCGCTGTAAAAAGGTAGCTGTTGTTGTGGGAAGTTGTTGGACTCATGAATTGAAGGGTCTCTCAGACGAACACTCTTGGAATTTGTTTCAAAGAATGACGCTTGAATCGGGGCAACATCAAATAGAGGCAAACTTGGTTGATATAGGAAAAGAGATTGTTCGAAAGTGTGCAAATGTTCCACTTGCCATTAGGGTGGTCGGAAGTCTTCTTCGAGGTCAGGAGGAAAGTAAGTGGGAGAATTTGAAAAATACTGATTTGGCAAACATTGTACAAGATGAGAGCAATGGCATAATACCTGTGTTGAAGATCAGTTACAATTATCTTCCGTTCCATTTGAAGAGTTGCTTCAGTTATTGTGCAGTATTCCCAAAGGATTACGAGATTATCAAGGAGGATTTGATTTGTCTTTGGATGGCTCAAGGCTTCATTATGCCGTCAGATGCAGAGAGTTTTGAAGATGTTGGGGAGGAGTATTTCAAGCAGTTATTGCAAAGGTGCTTCTTTCAAGATGTAGAACGGGCAGAAGGTACTAAGGAAATTATATCATGCAAAATGCATGATCTAATTCATGATCTTGCCAAAGAAGTAGCAGGGACAGACATATTGTCGTGCACCTATAGTACACGATGTTTTAACGAGAAAACTCGCCATGTATTCATTGATCGAAGTACCCCTAAAGATGTTGTTGGTAAGTTGAGCAATATGCAAAGGATGCGTACATTTCTGGGTACAGAGGTTCGTTATTTCTCTTTAAAACCATTTGTGGGGGGTGTATCAAATTTAAAATATTTAAGGGTATTACGTTTAAATGATTGTGATGGATTGAAAAAGTTGCCGAGCGGGATAGGTGAATTGGTGCATCTAAGGTATCTTGACCTTTCATATAATGGGGATCTATGTGTATTGCCCTCATCCATTACCAAGCTTTATAGCTTGCAAACATTAAAGTTGTGTGGGTGTATGGATCTAAAAAGGTTGCCAAGGGAGTTGAGGAAATTAGTTAATCTTAGGCACCTTGATATTTCTGGTTGCTGGAGTTTAACTTGTATGCCTCCTGGGATGAACAGCATGGCATCTCTGCGAAACTTGACAGGGTTTGTAGTTAGTGGAAGTGCAACAAGCGATGCAGTTTTGGGTTGTGTTTCTGGTCAGCTTGAAGATTTGGATGATTTCACCAATTACACTCACACTATGGAGATTGTAGTTAAAAGAGACGTGAGATACGATGCAGTAGGAGGGGGAATGCTATTCAAAAGTCCAAAATTGTGGGAAGTTATGTACAATTGGGTAACAGAGGAGAATACTAATGCAGAAGTATTGCTGCAAGGCCTACAACCCCACTCGAACCTTAGACAGTTAAGGTTGTGGTGTTATCCAGGAGCGGGGCTCCCAACCTGGATGATGACTCTCAGTTGTTGTCTCCCAAATCTTGTTCAAATTGAGATTCGTGATTGTAAAAGGTTGGAGCATCTTCCGTTGATGAGTAAACTGCGTCATTTGAAAGTCCTTAAATTAAAAGGTTTGAGTGAAGTGGAGTATATGGAGAGTAGTAGTATTAATAGTGGAGATGATGATGAGTTGGTATTCTTTCCATCCCTTGAAACGCTGGAGCTTTGGGGTATGCCAAAGTTGAAGGGATGGTGGAAGTCATCATCAGAATCAGAGGAGAGTGAGACACCGCAAGCACCAAAACTTTCTCGTCTTGATATAAGTGGATGTCCAGAATTGACAACATTTCCTTTGTGTCCGGAACTGCAAGAATTGGAATTAAAAGGTTTTAATGAAGCGCTGGGCCCAATAATGAGGGAGAGTGCTCATGGTTTGTCGGTTTCTAATAATAATCATAAAGAGGATCAAGGCCGGCAGGGAAGATTGAGGAAAGTGACGACAGATAACGTGGGATATTTAACTTCTCTTCCCATCCACTATCTTTCGAATCTCTGTATTACATTTGAACAGAAGGAATTGAAAACAGGAGAGGTGGGTGAGGTGTTCCGAAGCGGCCGCCTGTCCTCTCTTCGCTCCCTTCAAATTAGCTTCTGCCATAACTTGAAGAGTATATCAGGACGAGGAGTGTGGGACCAATTCACTGCCTTGGAGACTTTAACATTGTATTACCTTCCTGGGTTGGAATTGGAGGATGAAGATGATGTCAGCAACAACAAAAGCACAGAAGAAGGAAGTGACGCAGAGATGCCATGGAGATACCTTGCTCCCACTCTCCGTTCCTTGGAATTATCGGGACTGGATGCCATGGTGAAGCTGCCAAAGGGGATTGGATGCTTATCATCTCTCCATTCCCTTAATATTATGTATTGTCCAAAATTGAAAACAATGCCAAAAGAGATGCGCCACCTCACCTCGTTAACCGAACTTCATATATGGGAATGTAGCCCAGAATTAATGAAGGAATGCAAGAACAAGAATGGTGCTAACTGGTCCAATATCCAACATATCCCCAACATTAAACTAGGTATGAATGATAAAATAGGGGTTATTACTATTATTATTGTCGTCTTTTCACTTTTATTTTTCCAACTTTTTTAAGGAATGGATTGCTTGCTGGCTTGCTTATCATCTCTCTAACACCATTAATATTTGCTCCAGATTTCTTCTAAAATCAGCGCCCGAAAGAATTCATTTACTCAATGTTCGTTTATATATAACTCCACTGGTCAAAGGTAATGTCTACCCATATTCAATTTTTGGGTTCATAGCATATGATGCCTTGTCAATTATCATGTTAGTATTACCATTTTAGTAGTTTTGGTCACGCATACACCAAAAGTTTCACTAGTTTTACTGTTGACTATTGTAATTAATACAACCAATTTTTCATGATTAATCTTCTAATAGAAGTGATAAATTGTATAGATGTATACCCTTGTACATAAAACTAAGTAGATGAGTAGATCGAATTAGAATATACCTTAAAATTCAGACTATATATATTAGACCAGATTTCTTAAGGTCTAATATCTGAAATTTCAGATATATTAATTAAAATTATGAGAATAAGATATTTGGATAACACACTTTTAAGACATTTAACAGTCTCTTATGGATTTCGATATAATGAAGCTTATGCTTGCTGGTTACCAGAATACGGGTTATATTATATGTGTGGGCTTTGGCTGTCTAGTTGAATTTCACCATATATAGGTGCTTGTGTATATACGTGTTTATTTCAGATTTTGTGCAAACATAATATCAATGAATCAAGGGGGGATGGATATTACCTCATGTTTGTTAATATTGGCATTAGATTCTTATTGGCACAATCTATCTTGACAACACACATTCACACAAACCTTAATATTAACTCCTTAATGAAAAGTAGAAGTTGCATGCTGCTGTAAGTATACTCTGATTCAGCTCATAACTAGAATCAATAGTATTGCTATTTAATTTTTACATCTATACCTTTGGAAAATTGGCATGTTTTGTTTTTAATGATGGTCAACCATATTTTTCTATGAGATGAGCACATCCTATTGTTATTAACAAGGTTGATAATTAATATGTATATCACTACTGATTTTGCTAGATGATGCATACTCCTCCTGATGATATCTGCCATTTTTTTTTTTTTGATTTAGTTCATTAGTGTGCGTTGAAATTAAATGTCCTGGTCCGGTCCTATGGCTCAATCCATGGAACTTTAATACATAGTTATATTGTTCAACCTCAAAAGTAGGTTCTGTTGCTGCTTGCTTCATATATCATACTGTCATGATTTTTCTAGCTGATAGGATTCATATACTGTAGAATAGGAGTTTTGCCGAATTTCTACTAAACCAGGATTGTTGCTTAAATTGCAATCAAAGAGTAGCTTAAATGGGATGAGAGCATAACAAGGGAAGGATGATTCTTGGATTCCAAGCACTGGGATCTCCAGTTTGTGAGATTCGATGCTGCTAGTTCTAGCACTGCAGCTCTACCATTGATCCACTTATCTAGTATCTATTTCACATGGGCTGAAAGGTTTCAGAGCAGGGAAGGAGAAGGTAACTATCTGCACTATGAAGTAATTGAGTTGAAGCTATATTTTACTGTTTCTGCGTTATGCAGCGTGTGAATGTTGTATTCCCACATTAATTCATAGTAAAAGGTAATGGCCTTTATGATTGCCAATTTATATCTGGCTAGTAAATTTCTTGTTACTCAGTAGTAAACCTTGACAAAGTTTCTTGCATCTATTGTTCTTCCATCAGTGCTATATAAAACATCTTAGGCCTTGTCATTTAGCTATAAATGTCATTCTTTTAGAGCCCATTTATTGAAGTGTTAGGAAAACAAATGAGTCTAGAGGCCTTGTGTTAATGGGTTAATGGGTTAATGCATCCCGAAAGAGGGTCTAAACCTGGAATCAGGATTCATAACTGAGGCCATGCATTTATTTTTGAAAAGTTCCATGACAAGTAGTTTGTTCCTGTTTCATTTATACTTTCCTTTTTAGTTCTGAAGTTGCAATCTGTTAGGTATTCAAATTAAACATTTCAAAATTGCAATCTGAGAATTTAGGTTAGCTGATGAAGAATTCCTGAAGAAATGGCCACTTAATCAAGCTTCAGGTTCTCATTGTTCTATAAGATGCTTTTATCTGGGTCATCAGGCATGGGTAAGTTGACTAATCTTCGGGTGCTACCATTGTTTGTGGTGGGTATGGAAAGGAGAGTTTCTACAGAGGAGCGATGTATGGGAGACCTGAAAGACCTAAAACCCCTGACCAACTTAATAGGTGGCATAGAGATCAAAATCGGCAAAAACTACATGAATGATGATGGAGGAGGAGGGTATTTGAAGGGTATGAAACATCTCACTGAGGTTGAAATTCTATATTCTTATGAAAATGATGGATGTGTAGAGTGGGAAGGGGTGATGGAAAAGCTAGAACCACCTTCGAATCTCAAGAAATTTGTCTTGAGGTATTACAAGGGTACTAAAATTCCAAGTTGGGGTAGAGCACAGGATAATTGGGCTATTTCTTTCCAGTCAATGAACTCCACATATTTTGTAATGAGAAGGTGGAGAGTTTATCAGAATATGGGGATGTATTCCGGAAATACAAATACACTTCTTACCTAAGAAGCCTTCGAATTTCTGGTTGCCCAAAATTTGAGGAGACTTGGAAGAGGGGGGTTGGAGCATCTCACTGCCTTGGAGTCATTAGGGTTTGAAAACAATCATCAACTTAGCTTCTCTGAAGACGAGGTCGATGATGATGGCATGCCATGGAAATCCCTTCAACAATGTCTCCGTTCCCTGTCTATTAAATATTGCCAGGCCATTACATCACTTCCTGAATCAATGCAGAACCTCGCCTCCCTTCAGAACCTTGAGATAGTTAAGTGTCCAGAACTAGAAGAAAGATGCAAAGAACCAGATGGGGAGGACTGGCCCAAGATTCAACGCATCCCCCACAGAATAATTGGTAAGCAATTACAATGAGTCACTTTTCTGTTTAGTTTTGAAGCACTATGTGTTGTTTTCCATTGAACCATCTACGCTTGTATGCTTGTGCAGAATATACTACTCGTACTTATATAGTGTACTGGTAATTAATTGCAGGTGAAGGCGTAAATTATTTTTTTCATGAAGCATGAAGTTGATATCAAACTTTCATTATCATAATTCATAATTAAAAGGTATTTTGATCATTTATATTCTTGATTTGTAGAAAGTTGAAAGATTTTATTTTCTGAGTGGATGGTGTACAATCTTTTATTTTCGCATGTATGTACTTTGCCTGATGATTGACTGCCTATGAACCCTATTATAATTCTATAATGTCCAGGTACTTGTTAATGTGCTTCAGATTGTACTCATGTGAAAGCTGCTAAGAGCGTCACTTCATTGGATGAACATGATGTGGAGGAGTTAACCAATTCTCAAGTCTCTCTGACTATTTGGAACCAACAGCTAGCAAGCGCCTATTTTATCTGTTGAATGTTGATTCAGATTTACGATGTAGCTATGGACGGTCTGCAGGAAGCTGCTGTGGGATTTGACGTGGAGGACTGCAAGACTTGGCTTGACAGAGTGAATTGCAAAAATATCTTTCAAGAACGTATTTGACTCAGGATCATGTAAATACTTCATAGTCTTTCAAATAATGTATTGTGAAAGAAAAATATACAGACGACTCTTTTAGACATGTAAGCACGGCAATGCAACATTTAGTATTGTTTGTATCTCAATTTTCTCCTTAACAGAGTAGAGTATCACTGAATGAAAAACCGTGAATTTATATAATAGTGAGATTATTTCCTATAATACTTGTGTTGCAATGTTACATACATTTTGCCACCAAAGGTTTGGTCATTAGTTCATCACAAATCTTGTATGAGTATTGTTTTGAGTTAACAATGTTCTCACTTTCAAGAGTAGAGATCGAAGTCATCGAACAACCATTTTAACAAAAAGTATTACAGGGGGGCTGATGATGTTGCTTGCTCAGAACAAAGTATCATGAGAATTTAAACCTCTTACACATAAAACTAAATCCACCCAATGTAGCCATTTTTCAAGCAGCAGCCTAGGAGGATAAGAAGTCAAGAAGGAAAGAGCAATTATTGGAAACTGAAAATTATAACATCCTAAGTCCCGGTATAATAGTGGAATGCAGTAAGTAACGATACAGAAAATGGGGGTAATAAAGTAACATGGGTCATATATTACAGAACGGCTAAAGGGAGCGTAATCATTATTTCGAAATGGCTAAAGTGTAATTGTTATTTCGAAATGGAGTACTCATATCAGTCGTATGGAAAGGAGAAAACTTAATACACAGCTGTCAGTGATTTCAGTTCTGCACTTTGGCCGTGCTAATAACATCAATAAACCGGTAAGTTTGTGAAACCTAAAAAATGAAGTTGGAAGTTCCAAATTTACACAGATGAAGCTGAATCAATTGAAGTCGTCACCAGGTAAACAAAACACCTGACTGTTTCAGCAACAGATCATTCTGACATGCTATGTAATAGGAAGTACTTGAAATTGGAAGAGTGCAATCCTCCAAAGAATAGTGATGCAGAGTCTTGGGTCTTCTAAGAGAAAATACCTCTCATAATTCATCTTTGGAGATGGAACCTTTAGCTTCAGCATGCTCAGCATAAGATGCATAAGCTTTGATAATAGACACATATATGTCGACTCCTTTTAGATACTCTGCTTCATTTAAAAACTGCAACAAGGAAAATGTGTCAGAAATATCGAGTATTCCTTTTGCTTGTAAAGGAGACCATAAGACATACTCCGTAAAAGTTAGTAGGATTCATGATTGCTAAACGCAACTGATAAGCCAGCCTTGGATTCCAAAACAGAACCCAACAGATTGAAAGAAAGGCAAGAATTGGTGAGTTTATATGCTAGCAGCCTAGCACATTGAGAACGTTCGAAATGTTAAAATTTTAACTGCTTTTCTAGTGTCTGATATCTACTGGGTGCACCAGAAATATGTCATCTTACATTTTACTATAAGGTGTAACTCATTATTCCTAAACTAGTGGATACGCTAGAACCCATAATTGTGTGTGTGAGGGAGTTAAAATCAATTTTGGAGTGTAAAAATCAACTCCCTCTTGTATTTGTATTGTATTGGCATAAGTGAATCCTATAAACCCACCCACTGGCTTACTGCTCACACGACCTTCAACAAAAAGAGATAATGAAGTATATTCCATCAATGAGAACACTAGAATTATAAGGTGGTAAGATTAATTCCATCCCGGCCACAGCCAGGGTTCAAATATAGTGACCATTTTCCTTCCCGATTGAGCTATGTAGAGAGTACGTGGTGGCAGTTGGATCTAATTCTTTTGAGTATAGAAGCCCCTCCAGCACTAACCCCCTAAAAACCAGAGTACCAGATTATGAGATGGAGACAGTTTGTCACCCTTCCCACTCAAATACATACAGATGTCAAACAGACAGCGCCCATAATTAAATTAAAGAGAATTAAAAGAGGGGAAGCCAGATCTTTAATGTTTCAGATTTTAAGACCAAGGATGATTAGTTCATAACAACAATAAAATAGGGTTCTCAATATGATAATATGATCATGGGATTGAGTCCAGGCTTGGATTTCTTATCAACAGTCTCAGAAACTGAATTTACGTACAACTAGACAAAAGTAGATTAGGTCCATGCAATACAAGGAAGAGAATAAGAATAAAGGCAAGAATATTGTACCTCATTGTGGTCATGTAGTAGAATTGGAGTATTTGCCATAGGAGAGAAACCTATAGCAGGTAGGCCTTGTCGCCTAAAGTAACGACAATCTGTAGAAGCAGGGAAAATTTCTGGCTTTTCAAGTTCTCCACCAGCACTGCGAACAGCCTCTTCTAAAAGGGCCCACCAGGGGTTCGAATTGTCAGAAGTAGTGACAGCTGGGTTACCGAAGTTGTCAAGCACAGATTGCTTCTGCTTAAACTGCCCATACTACACATATATTAGTCAACTATGAAGATAGCAGATAATTACACTATTTCACCTTCCATATCCTTGGCCTTGTTTGGTAAAGAGAAAATGATAATAGACATCATCAGTAATATAAACACAGATTGCAGCACATGACATTACTTTATTCAGCTAGCAGATAACAGCAGTAGATTCTGTAGAAAATGTTCTGCAAGTAGCCATATAATTAACAAGTTCTACTACATAAAATTTTAAGCATGTAAAATACCATACAAGGAAAATAAACATACATAATTGTAGGCTGAGCATGACATAATTTTTTGAGGAAGAAGCAAGTCAAACTTTTGAGTACCTTTCCATCAGAAAATATATTGTAATTTTTTATAAACATTAGGCAAATTTGTCTCTGCACTTTGAAATCACAGTCTAAGCCATAGAAATGCTGATAGGAACAGCATTTTGGATATTATTATTAAGTTTGGTACAGTCAATTAACAACAGCATATTCATTAGTCAGATTCACTGTAGTGATTCAAATCTACTTTAATTGTCGAATCTACGCTTAGCCAGACAACCCTAACACAACTGTAGCATCTACACTTTCTACGGTATAAGTTGGGCAACTTAGGAAATCTAATTCAGTCATTTGATTTACTCTCAATGGATTCTTAATCTGGAATTTGAGAAGAGGGACTTTTTCCATTTGTATGTCCTTAACACACTACATTCAGGGGAGTTTGAAATCTAGGAAGAATAATCTAGAGGACAAATATTGAATTGATCTCTTCCCGTGCTATGATTTGTTGAGTGTAAGCAGTCTAAGAACCAAAAGGATGGATAAACTAGAACAAGCATTGGCAATCATCAAAGAAAATCCCATTTTCCTCCAACTTCCTTAGATAAAGACTGCGTAGAGGAAGAATCTAGAGTCGCCATCCCTGCAGGCATTTATTAATCATAGCTCATGACTCATGGCTATCTATGTGACTAGTTATCAAAATGTTAGGAAGATTAATGAGATTTTGTCAAACTAATAAACATGAAATACACACATCACATATAATTCTTCAATAAATTGGGAGGGGAAGGGGCACTAGGTTGGGAATATTAAATGATTATCACGTAAACTGATAGAAGAGTCCTTCAGACAAGAAATTTTAACCTCAAATGTCATGTTTCGTGAAGCAGGAGCCCACTCCTCAGCGATACGCCTTAAAAGGGCTTCTTGATCAGCTGTTGGTGGAACCCGAATATCAAAACCTGCTTCAGCTTCAGAAGGTTGCAAGTTCATGACAAAACCCTGAAAGAAAGAAAATCTCCATGTTAGAACTTAAACTAAGGCATATGACATCTCATCACTCATCAAACTATCAAGGACTATATTGATAATTAACCATTATCTGTCCCATCTCCCTGACCTTCACCAGAAACCAGGCCCTGGAACAGGCATGCTTCAACAAGCAAATTGATAACTGGGATGAAAAGGCAACCTTTGCTGTGTACAATTGGTATATAACTGAAAGTCTCACTACGAGCTAACAGGCATGATTCCAGCACTGTGGAGAAAGTCACCTATTTGTTTTCAAACAGATTATGTAACTTTATGTCTACTTTTAGGGGCCGTTTGGTTGGGGGTATTCATCAAAGAGAATGGGAATCGATAGGAATCATTCCCTTTGATATTGTTTGTTAGGCCATTTTTCCATTCCCTTTACCCTCTCCGTTCCCCCAAATCCCTCCAAGTTGATTCCCACCCCCCCCCTAGGTATTTCCATTCCATTCCCTAGCTACCACCACACCACCATACCACCACCCTCCCCACCACCGGAACAGCTAGCCACCCCACCAAAACCCCTCCCCTCACCCTCGCCATCCCTCCCCCACCCCCGGAACAACCTGGCACCCCAGCGAAAACCTCCCCACCCACCGAAATTACCACAACTCCCACTGAAACCACCACCACTCTCACCGAAAACCGCCGAAACCACCACTACATCCACCGAAAAACCACCAAAACTACTACAGCTCCCACTGAAACCACCACCATTCCCACCGAAAACCGCCAAAACCACCACTACACACACCGAAAACCACCGAAACCACCACAACTCCCACCAAAACCAGCGAAAACCACCACTCCCCCCCCCCTCTCTCTCTCTTTCTCTCTCTCTCAAAATTCAATTCTGGAATTTTCCCCCAAAATTCACCAAGAACCCTAATTTGTTTTCCTTATTTTGAACATTTGAATTCCAGATCTGAGACCTAAATTGTCGTCTTTTTGAAAATGAACACCATATTCATGGATCCAAGTCATGAATCTCCTTAATCAATCAATTTTTTTCCGTATTGGAGCCCTCGTATTTTTGGGTGAGCATGATGGGGTGCTTAAGAAGTGGTGGTTTTGGAAAGTTTTGATGGGAGTGGTGATGATTTCAGGAAGTTTCGTGAGAGTGATGGAGGATTTGACTGTTTTGGTGGGAGTGGTGGTGGTCTCGGGAAGTTTCAGTGGGAGTGATGGGTATTTTTCAGGGGAGGGGAGAGCTGTGCGGGCACGGGGAGCGGCGGCGAGGGGCAGGGGAGGTGCGGCGAAGGGTGGCGAGTGGTGGGGGAGGTGCGTCGAGTGGTGGGGTGGCTGGGTGGTGGCTGGAAATGGTGGGAAGTGAAGCAATTAGGTAGTTATGTGGTGGTTGGATTGGTGGCAGTGTTTCCCTTTATTTTTAAAACAAACAACATAGAAAATTTAAGGTAATTTCATTCCATTCTTTTTCATTCCTTTTGTTCATTCCATTCCATTTCCCTGTGTAAACCAAACGGCCCCTTAAGATTTTCCTAGATTGGCACTAATAGTTTCCTTTACTCAATCCAAAGCTTTAAGAAATGAAGAAAAAAGAAAGAAGATAAGAGGACAACAGGACTCGAGAGCAGAACTAAATATTCAACATGGAAGCTGCTTCTACTACTGACTACAGTACATAAAGCCTGGAGAAAATCAGGGCAGAGACTTACAGTTGGAGTTCGAGTGCCAGCTTTCAGAAACGCCATATTCACCGAAACCACTTCTCCTTCAGCTTTCAAGCCAGCCTTTACCATATCGAATTGTGTCGCTCGATATCTCCTTATGATCTCAATACTCTTTAACAAATTCTCCATTGCTGTATTATCATACAACTTAGCGCCATGTCCAGGAGCTCCTGTAGCCTTGATCACTGTCCACATCGGTGATCTCTCTGCATAAAATGCCCGATACTTTTCTCCTGGTGATGCAAGTCCCTCATCTAGAACAAAGGCCACATTCATTTTTTTAAACAAATCAGACTCGGCCAACTTTTCCACCCCATCATGCCCTCCAATCTCTTCATCCGGAACAAAGGTCAAATAAATGGTACGAGTGGGCTCAAACCCAGAATCCTTCAGCTTCCGAATAGCTTCCAAATACTGTAAACCCACACATTTCATATCCTACACAGCCAACAAAAGTCCCACACAAGATAATCAGCCATCTACAGAGTATACAACAACAATACCTATGCACCTTTATAAGCTCCCATCCTTAACAAGTTTAAGGAGTGACATGTACACAGCTTTACCCTATGATTATAAAGACTTAAAGAGGCGGTATTCAATTGACCAATACAGATATGCAGCAGGTTATTGTTACCTTACAACAAATTCTAAATGCAGTATAACCATTATAAATCAAAGGACAAAAATTTTGACTTCACAACTATTAGGCTTGCAAGTATTTCATCACAATTCATAGCCATAAAAGAATGACTAAAAAACAAGGTACATCATCTTGGACTTGGCAAAGTTCAATTCTATTACAATAAACAGGTCTTCATTGCAAAATACAGTATTTTCTCTACTACCCACCTCTTCCTTTTTCAAATACACAATCCCTTCTTCATGTTCAACTCCACCGCCCTCAAATTAAAGCCGTTATACTTCTTCCAGCCAGAATTAATAATCATGTGGATAGTATACTTTGAACTAGTAATGCAACAACTAAATCCGGACAAAGGTAGTATTAAAATCATGCAGCAAGGAAAACATAGAGTCAAAATTGATAAAACCATAATCACTACGTGAGTATAAAGTATGAATTATACAAAGTTCATCTCCACAACATACCCAATAATAGTACTACTTCGTATATAGTTTTTCTTCATTTGCAATAAAAATAAATTTCTAAAAATTAGATTGAAATAATTACCTGAGAACCTCTGGCATAAATATTGCCCTGAGGATCGATATGAGCACCAAAAGGGTCATAAGTCCATTTTTGGGATTCAACCGGAACAACATCGGTGTGAGAATTAAGGATAACTGAGGGCAAATTAGGGTTTTTTCCAGACCATTTGAGCAAAATTAAGGGTTTATTTTTGACAAATTCAATAGTCTGAGATTCAAGGGATAAAGAATTAGCTTGAGATAGAATAAAATCAGAAGCTTCATAGTAATTGGGGTTTGGTTGAGCAGTGTTAATTCGAAGGTATTCTTGGAATCTGGAAATGATTGATGAAGATGGGTTTTGGGTTGCTGTGATTGAGATGAAGAGAAGAGAGAGAAAATAGAGAATTGAGAAGAGGAAGAAGATGGGTTTTGTTCTTGATTCCATTTTAATGGAGCTTTGAGTGAACTTTGCTTAAGTTTCAGATAGCGGCAGGGGATATAAGTCAACAATAACTATGGCTACGCTATGACCAAAACTATAGATGAACACTTGCACAGCCTCTATGTTTTGATGTCTTTTTTCTTTTTATGAAAATTTATCAACAAAAAACCTTTTAAATGCCTCATTTTGCAAGAAAAAATCTTTTAAACGATTCTTTGTTTTTAAAAACCACCACGATCATTTTTTTTGTTTAATGAAATCTGGGCTCTCTTTTCCGACATTGACTTTCAATTTCAGGCATTGACCCATATGTTTTCCTACATACAGCCTACAGTTGGATAAAACAAAAAAGAGAATCGTTTAAAAGGTTCTATAACTCTATTCTTTGCAACCTGTAATCCATGCCTCACTACAAGAGCCTCAGCATGCTCATGGGAAATTGCCTGTGTCCTCTCTGCTACACACACCAAAATCTGCCCATCCGAGTCTCTTAGCACAACTCCAAGACCCATTGTCCCTTCTTTTCCTCTGATTTGAGTTGGTTATGCTTTAGGGTTTTGGCTACCCGCGCGAAGTTATAATTACTCACTTCTATACTCTTTTATTGGTCCATCATCTTATATTGCTCTATACAAACACTTCATATTTTCAAGTGTTTTCAAGTGTTATAAACTTCGGTGTATATGTAAGTGGGAAAATGTTTGGATGTTTTTTGACATGAAATAATAGGAAGAGATAAGTGAGGACAACATATCAAAAGTCGTATAGGCAAACTAATAGGGATAAATCAAATTAAAGGAAAACCACGATAGGAGTATTTCACACCCTTTATAATCCTTCTTTGACATGTATACTAACAACAAATGTAACTAGCTTTAAGAAACAAGATGAGGTTTTGAACATTGGATGTTAGTAATACATTTTTTTTTTTTTTTTTTTTTTTGTTAAAGCCATAGATAAATAACCACTTGTAAAATAAATTCAACTAAACTTCACTTGTGCTATATATTTAGGAGTACTTACAGTGCATGCAAATACAAACTTGTGTGTGTGTGTGATTCACATACTTAGGTTGTGTTCTATACACATTCATCTTATATTCATCATCGTATTCGTGGTCTATATCATATTATTTGGGAATAGTTGGGATGAAATGTCATTTCATGGGAGATGATTGGTTGTGAACTCTAACTAATGATGAAGCGAAAAACCATCTCTATAATGTGAACATAGCAGATTCAGATTTGATTGACATCTCATGTTGAAGTTTTAAATAATTTGATCTCCCTAATTACTTTCCATATTTAGTGAATACAATAATATCCTAAAATAATTCTTAAACACTTGCTCATATGGCAACTAATACCATCACCAATACGAGTATTATAAATTCCACAAAGTTCTTCATAGACTAAAAAAAAAAAAAAAAAAAAAAAATACTGTTTTTTAACTTTCTTTTGTTTATTTTGAAAGGCAAACTATTTTATCCGATAATCTCCTAAACTATTTCGCTAAAAAAAACACTTGGTGAGCAAGTAATTTTTTTATTTTTTTTTAATGAAAAAATCATGATCATAATCCTTCCTTAAACCTCTCTCTTCCTCCAAAACCCCCAAACTTTCAAAATTCTCAATTTCCCAACAAACTTTAAACCTCCTCAGAAAAACCCGATTTAAAAATTCCAACTTTCAATCAAAAATTGATAAATACACCAAAAACAAACAAACCCATAAAATTAACCAGTCTTAAATTCAAAAAATAAAATTATCAATTCCCTCAAATTTTTTTGTAAAAGTGCTATATATACCACCGCCATAAAAACAACAACTTAGAGAGAGAAAAAACAAAAAAAGTAGAGAGAGAAACAAAATGGAGGCATGTATGATTGAGTGTACAAGGAAGTTAGCAATTTGGTACACCAGAACATTCAAGCCCATTATGACCCACGAAGAATTAGAGCCCATAATGGCGACATTGGGCTTTACCGCCCAACCGGAAACTCCAGCCGTAAACGGTGTCGCTTGGAAGGAGTATTTGTACGCCGCTAGTGGTTATCGGAGTTTATCGCCAGATTCTCCGGTACCGTTACCGAAACCGAAACTTCCGTGTCAAATAATTAACGGTCGTCGTAGAATCGACGGTTTACATATTTACACGTATCGTGCTTTCATTGACGCCGTCAATTTTTACCTTGAGATGGAATTTATCTCCGATGTTTTTCATGTCAGGTTGTTTTTCTCTCTCTTTTCCTCTGTTTTGGTACACGTTTTTTAATTTTTGTTATCAATTAAAGTTGATTAATATGGTTAATTGAGGGAGAAAAATAAGGGGCTTTTTTAAATGGATTCGAATTTGATTATTCGAAGGAATAACAATTTGGAATACATGAGGGTGGATTGTTCTGGCCCTTCTGGGGCTAAGAATTTTGACTTGGTTTCGAAGAAACATGGAAGTTTGAGTCCTTTTAAAATTGTTATTTTGTGGGTCCACATATACCTTGTTTAGTTAATACTTCGTCCGTCCTTATTAATTGTCTTATTTGACTTTTTACGGATTATAGTCTTTAAAAAAAGTTACTCGTATTTCGAACTCAAATTACGGAGTATACAAGTAAAATGCAATATTTTTAATACTAGGTAATTTGTTGTGAAATTTTACTCACAAAATTATTGGAGCAAAAAATGGGAACAGAGGGAGTAATTATGAGTTAGATTTCACTATCATTAGCTAATTACAGAATATTAGAAAAGAGAGTGAAGGATAAGTGGTTATAGCTTCCCTCAGTATTGAAAAAAATAATTTACAACCTCTGATCAAGTAACCTCTAGTATCCTTGGTCACACTGTGTGGCAAATTTGTGTGGTATTTTTGATAATTTTGGAATATTAAGGAATTATTGGAAAAAAATTTAAGTCAATAAAAGTTTTTTTTGTTTTAATTAGAGAGTGATATGAAAATATTAGTGTCACTTAAGTTTTCACCCAAAATATACTTGGTCAACAGAAAAAAGATTATTGAAGTTCCGTGATTTACCTAACCATTATAGCTCTCAATTACAATATTTACTTCACAACAAGTTCAATTTTCACGAGTTTATGACTTTTGATTAGATAAAATTTCTAATATGTACTCTTGACGTATAATTCCCATGTTATGTCAAAGAAATATCAATCTAGTGCACAAACTTTTTGGTTATGACTATGCATGTAAATATGTATTCCGTAATTTGTACATTCATACATTGTAATTTTGTAAGTAGCTTTTTGTGAATGTAGAAAAATGTAGCAATTTTTTTTTTCTTCATTTGAACTACTCTATAGAGATTTTTTTTTTTTTTTAACAAACAACCAAACACTAATATTCGAGTAATCATATCATAAATGTTGGTGATATCTCAAATGATAAGGTCAAATAAAAGCCAATTAGTCATGATATCCATGAATTTATCATGTTAGCAAGGTTTTGGTCATATCCTTTGTGTTGCTTAGGTGTTATTTACTGGACTACTAATAAGGTACTTTTTTGTATTTAAAAGATTGTCTCATTGCAATTTCATGGTCACTTTAAAATCTTTTAATTTATCTTGAATTTTCATTAATTCATAAGAAATTATAAAGTCATGTGTAATCTGATTGAATTTGTGTCATTGAATTTTTTTATAATACTCCATAAGCCTTATAGTATAAATTTGTCACGTACAAAAATGAAAATATTTATATTTTAAAATACAACTTATAGGCTGCAAAAAGTCAAATGAAACAATCTTTATTGAATAAAGAAAATATTAGCCTAGTGGAATAAAATGACGTCACGCTTATGTTAGTTCATGGGTTTGAATAGTACCTCTCCCATTTATAATTATGATGCTCTTCTGGGGTCATTTATAAAAACTTGGATCTTGTATGAATGTACTATGATGCACTTTGATAAAGCCATGGTCCATATCTAAGTAAAGAAATGGGTCTCACTAGATTTGATGAATGTTAAGTCCAATTTTCCTGACTTGTCCATTTAAAAAGCGAAATCGTGCCTTCAATGTCTTCGTTGCTCATTTTGTACAAGTATCTTAGAGAACTTGTGTATCTTGCTATGATACATTGATACATGTTGAGGGCTTGATACTACGTACATTTTTGTAACTTTGTTAGGATATTAACTCAAATTTGTTTTGCGTAGGGGAATGCCGCTTCAAGCAATGTTTGATCGGAACAAGAAGTTTCGTAGAATGGATGAAAACGGAAGTGTGTTTGTTTACAAAGAAGGAACCCTGGATCAAGCTTCCTTCAACCAATACCACAAGAACAATAATGTTGATAGTAGCAACGACGAGCATAGCTCGATCATCATTCGCAACAAGGGCAACAACATGTCTATTGGCAAATTAGTTCCCCTGAAGGATATAATCGTTTTCATGGGTTTTGTTCCATAAAGAAATTGTAACTCAAATATATTTGGCAAAGGAAATTCTCGTCATTTCTGGTACATTTTATGATGTATAGATTAGTAGATGTAGGAGTTTGTTAGTTCAGGAAATTTTTTGGATAGTTATTTGTAGCTTAATTACTATACATGAAATGATGTATGTTTATTCTATTGAAGGTAAATAGAATATGGAAAATGAAGTTTTGTTGATGAAATAATGTTCTACTTTTGCTTATATTGCCCTGTCTAAAGTTTTAAATTTATGAAGCCTTTGGGCCAATACAAATTACTTCCATGTTTTTTTTTTCTTCTTGAAAATTTGAGTCTTGAATAACTCTAAAACCTTGACATCAACGTAATTTGATCCTAAGTCAACATACATTAAAAAAATCAACAATTAAGAACACATATATTACATGGTTCACTATCGATATGCATCCACACAGGTAGGTGAGAGACTAAGAGGGGAATTTAACTGTTAGGATTGTACAATTTACACAATAATGGTTAGGTTAAATCTTAGTCAAATCTTTGTCAAAAAATCTTAGTCAAATCTATCGTGACGATTGGCTTGCATATTTTAACAACTATTGCAAAGATAGGAACCACAAAAAATGTCTATAAACTTACAATGTAATCTTCAATCTAATGCGGAAATTCTAAAATTTCAAACTTAGTAGGGCGCCATATTTCGAATTTCAATAACTTGTCCTATATAATTTGGTTGATATTAAAATTATCCGATACATTTTAGTGACCAACAATTAAATTTGAGTTTGAAAATTTTAAACAAAAGACAATTAAATTGATTGTTTATTCTATAATAATATAAAATGCAATACCTTGGTCCATCAAATTTAAATATTTTACTCGATCACCAGTGAACCAAATAGATTATACAATACATTTTTTTATTTTTTTTTCATGCCATTAGTCATTACACTCACTACTTCATTAGAGAAATTCAAACAATGTTCTTATAGGTGCTCTCAGTTATTTTTGGAAGATTAGTCAGAGCATCATTATACACCATATGGGTGAAGAACCCTTCTCCCCTTGACCTCTGCACTATATTATGATTAAAATGCAAAAAAGATACACCCAAACTTACGCAACAATGAGACAGAATCACAGAACAAGTTTGTATACTTGTCTGTCCAAAATTTACCAAGTACCAAGAAAGAATGCAACAAAACTTCCCACAAGGCCACAAGCCCACAAGTAACATCATTTTGGAAAAAACCAACCACCTTATAGGAAGGGTTTGGGAAACAAAGCCTCACGCAAACTCCAAACAATAATACAATTTGAGCTACTCGATACTCATAAATACTACGGACTTACGGAGTAAATCGAATGGGTTACGACCTTACAATTACAAAATTGAAAGGGTTACAACCTTACAAATTACACTGACTATGTACCTATAAGCTATAATTTTTCTTAAATGCGCATATAAGCTAGTATATAAGCGTAATTGTATCATCTCAAAACACAGGGTGTAACAAACTAACAAAGTAGAGTAGTTTCCGCAAAAATAATCAAACACTCAAAAGTCCACATTTTTCTCCAACATATTGGCCCTACAAATTCCCTCCCCTAAAAAGAAGATTTGAAGTTTCTTCTTTTTTTTTTGTTTGTGTATAAAACCCTTCAAAAAAAACCCCAAATCGTTTCTCCGGGTTCCTACTTATTTTAAAGACTTTTAGCTTACCTTGTGTCTGCCACCCCCAGAAAAGCTGCTACTTCTGAAATGTACTCTACAAGTCTACATGAAGTAGTAATTAATCAAGCTTTAAACCCAGAAAATTCCCACTTTTTTTGACTCATTTTCCTCAAATTTGAGAAACCCTCTTTCTCTCTCAAAAAGCTCTCATTAATCCCTAAGAAAGAAAGGAAAAGAAACTTACTTTTTTTTTTCTCTTCAAAAATGAGCACAATCCTTCAATCTGCATTTTTCTGCTTAATTTTACTGCAATCCAACATTTTTACTGCTCTAAGTTATGATGATTTTGAGCCTCCAGATGATGAATGGGAGTCTGCTACTGCTACTTACATTAAAGAAGCAAATGGGTCTATTATTATTGGTAACTTCTTTTTTTTATACTCATGTTTCAAATTTTTATTTCTTTGTTATTGTTATTTTATACTCCATTATATTTTGCACTGTGGAAATTAGAAAAAAATTTAAAGATGGGAACTTTGGTTATGCTTATGCATCTGCACTACATTTCCTTTGCTTTGGTAGTGAAATTTGAATCAGTAACGTGACAACTTAACCCGGACAAAGTTAGGATTTTGCATTTTTGGAATAGCTAACATTATATTATTAAACTAGTAATGTGACATTTAAATCCGGGCCAAGTTAGGACTTTACAATAGTTAACATTAAACAACCAAGTTCACAGTTTTACATTTTTGACATTTTGCATATTGTTACATTTTCATGAATTTTCTCATTAAAAAGTACTAAAATTTAGTGGAAATGTAGTAATTTTGAGCAAAATTTGTTCCAAAACAGAAGGGGCATGTGGGTATGGTGACCTTCACAAGGCAACATATGGAAGATATGGAACAGGACTAAGCACAATATTGTTCAACAGAGGGAGTAGTTGTGGAGCTTGTTTTGAGATCAGGTGTGTTGATCATATTAAATGGTGTCAGCCTGGGAGTCCTGCAGTTGTCGTAACCGTCACCGATTTCTGTGCTCCAAACTATGGTCTACCTTCTGATTATGGTGGATGGTGTAACTTTCCTCGCCAGCATTTTGAAATGTCTGAAGATGCATTTACTGAAATTGCTGTCAAGTCTGCTGATTTAATTCCAATTCAGTACAGGAGGTAACAGATTTTCCTAAAACTCATCCTTTGATTTTGCAATATGAATGTGGATTGTTAGCTAGATGTTCTTATTAGTCGGATGTGTTGCATAGCACTAGTCTCGGGTTTTTGAGACAATGTTGTGTTGTAGAGCAGTCAAAAATTGACTGGAAACCAAAGAATTGGCCGAGAATGGATTTAGCTAACTTAGATTTGTAATGACAAATTTGTGAAAAGCTAATCAATCAGAAGTGGCTAAAAAAACTGGCAAATTAGCCTGACTGAAAATATTGGCTTTTTACGCGATTTTATGACCCAAGCTCCAACGTCACTTGTTAGAGACTAGCTTAATTCATCTAGTATTCTAGTGTGATGGGTTTCAAGCTGTGTAAACAGCCACAGGCTACAGTTAAACACTCCAAAATTTGGCAGCAATAAAGACTAGGAGGTGCCATGGTGATAGTTATTAGTCCTTGGTTTATATTATAAAGTAGCTCACAATGCCTCTTAATTCTTAGTTTACAAATAAAGCATCTGCTCTTTATTGTTGTAAGAACTATGATTTTGCTGAAAGAAACGAGGAAACTGTGGAGTTGGATGCAGGGTGGAGTGTGAAAGAGACGGTGGGATGAAATTTACAGTGACTGGAAACGCCAACCTTTACCAAGTTCTTATCACGAATGTGGGACTGGATGGTGAAGTAACAGGAGTGAAAATCAAAGGCTCGAGAACAGGGTGGATACCGATGGCAAGAAACTGGGGACAACTTTGGCAATGTAATATCAATCTTAAAGGGCAATCGCTCTCATTTGAGGTAACTACCAGCAGTGGGAAATCAGTGACTTCCTACAATGTGGCTCCCAGAAACTGGCAGTTTGATCAGACATTTGAAGGCAAACAAATTTACAATTATTAGCAAACAAATGAAGGAATTTTGAAGCTATTGCTGGCATTTTTAGTTTATTGGCTTCAAAGAGGCCTGATTTTGTAAACTACTAGAATTAAATAACATATGGTAATTAAATGAAAAGCTATGAGCTGCTACACAACCCTTTTTTTTTTTTTTTTTTTTTTTTTTGGTGATTGCTGCTTTATATTGCTTTATTTATGATATTCAAAGCTCTTTATAAATTATATCTCATGATGAGATCCCCACTGAGAGCCTGAGAAGTTGGCTGCTTTTGGCTACTTTGCTCCATGACAAATGAAGTGATGTGTTGATCTGAAAAGAAAAGAAAAGATTTAATTTGTTAGACAACTAATAAGAGGCGAAATGTCAAAATGAGCAAATTGCCTTTGGAGTCAAGGAAGGGTACTATTGACATGTTGCTTTTTGCTTCCAATTGTTGGGTGATCATCTATACATCTAGGCTAATCTGGAGAAGATATTGTCTCTCTTGCCATTAAAGACTGAATTATTTCTAACCATCATTTGTGGTTGTCTTGTTGATGTGTTATAATGAAGTTTGTATATTATGAACTATAAAGTGTTAGTGCGTTACCTATAGGTTTAATGGTATACCTAGATATTAAATATTATTCATATACATGCTTCGGATGCATAAAATAGTTTGCACTTCTCGATTTATTTTTAATAATAGAGATCCTGACTACAATGTTTAAACAAACTACAATGAACAACACTAAACTAGTGCTCCTATTAATTAAGCAATGTCTTTCCGTAAGAACAAATTTGACAAAACCGACTTGACCCTATTTGAACTTAAAATTGACTTAAATTGGAATAACTCGAAATAGACCCAACCAATCAAACAAAGTCGAAATAAAACAGTTTCTCACAAACTTGAAATTGTCCCTATCTAACCTGAAATTTTCCTTACCTGTATCATTTGCTCTTTATGAATATCCTATCTAGCTATCTCCGATCACCTATTCTCCTCATCAAAATTTGACCCGACCCATACACGATCCGTTTGCGAATAGGTTTGACTTAGAGTTTTGACCCTAATCACTTTTGTTATCCTCACCAAATTGCCCAACAAGGAGAGAGAAAAACACAGATAAAAACAACTGAGTAAAACTCAAGATATACCCCCATAGCAAAAATGGCGACCATGTTAGGAACGCCATGGATAAGAATCAAGGTCGTACCAGATTTCCACTCCCCTATTTTCCGGCAATCCTCACTCTCTCTCCACCGCAGCTTCCGCCGCCACTTCCGCCGTAATTTCTCGATTTCCGCTTCTTCTGATTCTCCTTTTCCGAGGAAGAATGACGGCGAAATCAGAGTTCGATTTGCTCCTTCTCCCACCGGTAATCTTCACGTCGGCGGCGCAAGAACTGCTCTCTTTAATTACCTCTTTGCTAGGTTAGTTCAGATTTTTGTTAATTCCCAGTTTTATTAAATTATTTTGCGATTTTTAATTTTCTGGAAATTTTGGTAAATCAGGTCAAAAGGTGGGAAATTTGTTCTGAGAATTGAGGATACTGATTTAGAAAGATCGACGAAGGAGTCTGAAGAGGCTTTGTTGCGTGATCTTACCTGGCTTGGTCTTAATTGGGATGAAGGTACTTCAATTTTGCTTCATTTCGGTTCTAGGTTTAAATTTTGATTTTGCTTTTGATTTTTAATTTTAATTTCTATAATTGATGTTGGTGTAGTTAATTTAGCATTCATGTTAAAGTTTAATTCACTCAGCTGATATGCATCTTGAGTTCACAAGTTAGTGAATTTTTTTAAATGTTTTGCTAGATTTAGCCCTAAGGGTCCAGTGTTAGCGTCAAATACATTTTCTAAGATAGTATGAATTTTCAGATTTTATGACAAAAATACGTGATGGTTAGTGTTCTTAGTGGTATTTAGTCCTTGGACCGTTAGGGCTGCATATGTTGTTTTTCAACATTGTAATGAATCAGTATATTTACTTTTGATGTACAAGGTATAGTATAAAGACTGTAAACCCTTGAAATGATGTTGGAAATATGTACCTCTTACATTAAGTTTCAAATGTACATCCGGGTTTTGGACATGAATAGTGATGTTAGTCATCTTGTTTCTTCAATGAGACCCTTTAAGTATGCATACCGAGTCCACAAGCTTTAGTTACTTTGATACTAGTATATAAGGATATATGCATTTGCACTAACTGATTTTGGAATATGCGCCTTTAATATGTGAACTTCGGAATTTGGTTGGGTATGAGGAATGGTTTTAATGATTGAGTTTCTTACTTTGTCCTATGAAGGATTTTTTGTACATTTTTAACTTAATTTTCTCGGTATTTGAATACCATTTTCATTTGTTATACATTGTATTGTTAAGTTGCAAGATACAATGTAAACTTGCCAGAAATGGACTTATTCACCGCCTTTGACTATCCTGAGCTTTCATAGCTTTAATGATTGGAATTAAGTTGGTGATTATGGTGTGGCATGTAACCTTAAGGTTTTTTCTAATACTGTGCATTGGCTTTGCTTTGGGATTTTCATGAATTCTGCCCTGTTCTCATGCCAGTTATTGGCCGTGGCTATTCATTTTTGTTAATCTAAACGGTTCATCACATTGCTGCTCCTAAACCGTAGCTCGTCTCTGGTGAAATACTTAGTGATGATTGTGATGCTGTTTGCTATATGCAGGTCCTGGAGTTGGTGGAGACTATGGTCCGTATAGACAATCTGAAAGAAACAGTCTGTACAAGCAATATGCTTATAAGCTCTTAGACTCTGGTTATGTTTATCGGTGCTTCTGCTCTAATGAGGTAACTTAATCTGGGTTGTATGGGCTATTGAGTTAATGTGGTACATTCTTGGCCTTGATTATGAGTGGTGACATGAAAGATTAAATTGATTATTAAAGGATAGTTGTAACAAAAAAATTCTGTTGAAAGAACTCACATAAAGGGAGATAGAATATGGAGATGTCCCCTCCCCCCCCCCCTCCCCCTTCCCCATATTTTAATGTCACATCATGCTAAGAATTGTATGCAGAGAGTGGCTCAGCTATCTGAACCTAGCTCTGGGTTCCTAAAAACCTGATTATATCAAAAGAATAATTAGTTGAATAGACTTGCACATGGATATTACTCTTCATTACTCAGGAATTATTTACTTATAAATGGCATCTATGACGAGTAAGTACTGATTCATCGGGCGCAGAACTTAAAACAGAGTGTAGGAGATTTATCATCTAGTATTCTCTAATGTTCTACGGAGTAATATTTCAGTGTTGGGATTGGCCATTGTAATTTAGCTGTTAACTCTATTTTGTCTGAATCTGAGGTGTATTGTTTTGCTTGACCGTTACATTGCAGCTACACTATCATTGTGAATTTGACTTGTTGCTGCTTCAAAGAAATGTTGATAATATGCTGAGTTCAGGTTCTAAGGCTATGTATGTGTCTATTAGGAACTTGAAAAAATGAAGGAGACTGCAAAACTGAAAGGATTGCCACCGGTATACAATGGAAAATGGGCCACTGCCAGTGATGTTGATGTAAAGGAAGAGCTGGAAAAGGGATCCCCATTTACGTACCGATTTCGTGTACCCAAGGAAGGGAGTCTCAAAATTGATGACCTTATTCGAGGAGAAGTATGTAATTTTTTTTTTATTGCCCTAAAATTAGTCAATCACAGCATGTAGCTATTATTATTTACCCCCTTTGTCTGGAAACATGAAAACATAAATGATTTTATTTTTTCTGTGAACAAATTTCTGAACCATCATTTAACTTCCAAATATGTTTCCACTTATATGGAGTGACCAAGAGGGGAGGTGAAGAAGACAACTATCATAAAGGGTATTTCAGTGACTGTATAGTTAATTATTTAGGATGGTTTTGGACCTTGTGGCATTAAATACTGGACAGAGGGAATATATTGTAATGAATTACTGATTTGTAACAAACTTGTCCCAGAAAATATAGTCCATGTTTGAACCAGGTTTAGCTGACATTTTTCTTCCTTCAGTTTTCCTGTCTTTTCTTTGGCTTTACCTTGCATTTAGTTAGATGCTTGTTTGTCCATTATTTTTTTAGCATTAGGTTACCTTGCCTACTAAAGCGAGGCAGGAAAATATTAAAGCTTTGACTAGTATTTGCATAATTTAAATAGAGTTTTGGCAAATTGTGGTTTCGATAAGGTGTTAAAGTGTTTGATAGCATCATGAAGGTTAGGTGGAACTTGGATACCCTTGGAGATTTTGTGATCATGCGGAGTAATGGACAACCTGTGTACAACTTCTGTGTCACAGTTGATGATGCGACAATGGCCATTTCACATGTTATCAGGTGAAGTTCATCTGGACGTGATGCTATCCCGGCGTATCTTTTCTCTTGCCCTTGTATTCTTCTTGCATTTTGATAAATCGTTTTTCTCGTTAGCAAATGGAGGGTGTCAAATGCTGAACCTTAATCTTTTTTTAACCTGCTTATCAGAGCGGAGGAGCATCTACCTAATACACTGAGGCAGGCATTAATATACAAGGTGATGTCTGATGTCTCTAGGATCTTTTCTTCGTTTCTTTTGATCTCTGGCTGCCTATCTGTTCCAACTGTCAAAAAAACTGAATATTGGAATCTTTTTAATGCTTTACTTACAGGCTCTAGGGTTTCCTATGCCTAACTTTGCCCATGTTTCTTTAATTCTTGCACCTGATCGAAGCAAACTATCTAAGCGTCATGGTGCGACTTCAGTGGGTCAGGTTTGTGGCGAAGAACAAAATTTTTTAATTTTATGCTAGCATAATGGTCTGAATTGATACAGTCGTTGAATATTTTTGCATTTGACAAAAAAGTTCAGGGAGATAGGATACCTGCCTCAGGCTCTTGTGAACTTCTTGTCGTTATTGGGCTGGGGGGATGGTACTGAAAATGAATTTTACACTATTGAGCAACTTGGTTAGTTACTCTCACCCTATATAAGCTTGTTGGACTGCTCCAAGAAATGTCATTTTTGTTAATTTTCATTTGTGTGAGTATTGTTTCATGTGATTGCAGTGGAAAAGTTCACTATAGAACGTGTAAATAAGAGTGGAGCTATATTTGACACTACTAAATTGAGGTAAATTTGAAACTAACTGTCATTTTGTTGACTTTATGCGCTGGATCTTGCATTTCGATCTAGTTACTTCAGTTTCTTGTTTACTTGTAGGCCACATGGATTCTGTAGCAGAATATAGTCGTTGGGATAAATTGCAGTACCTGTTTACTGACATTTTTTACTTGGATCTTGTTCATGGAAACATCAGGTGGATGAATGGGCAGTACTTGCGAGCTTTGCCATCAGATGAGTTGAATAAAGTTGTTGGAGAGCATTGGAAGAGTAGTGGCATCCTCAATGAATCCGAGGGACTGTTTATAGAAGTAAGTAAAGTGTATTTTTGAAATAGAGAGGGAGAAACTAATTTGATTTGCCTACATTTAGTTTACAATATATGATGTGCATTTCTATAGCCTAAATTAGTTGCTCACTTACACGTGAAAAAAAAAATTTGAACTTATGATCTGTCTTGTGAATGATGTATTATCTATTACTCCCTCCATCTAAAATTAATAAGCACAACCAAAGTACTTCCTTCGTTTCCTTTTACTTGCAACACAACCTCATGGCACACACTTTGAGGAAAAGATTTAAATACCCCATTGAGGCTGTGTTGCTATTAAAAGAAAACGGAGGAAGTACATCAATTTCAAAGTTTATAAAATGCAATTACAATTCATCACCAATTTCTAGGGAATATATTGAGTTGATTTAATTGTGTAACTATGCAACTTATTAATTAATTATTTTATCAGATGTTAAGAATCTGAGATGGTTAAACTGTGTGAGCAGGAGGCTGTTGCATTGCTAAAGGATGGACTTGAGTTAGTACCAGAATCAGACAAATTGCTTTCAAACTTGCTATCATATCCATTAAGTGAAACTCTAGCAAGGTACTTAATGAATTTTTAATCCTTGATTGAAGTTCGATTTAGTGGTATAAATGTTTGATTGTGCCTTCTTAGTTCATGTCCTGTGGGAATTTCCAAATGCAAATCCAGCCTTTGTATCTCTGTATGGAAGTTGTACTTGCTAATACTAGTGCTTGTTTTAAATTTATAATGGATGAGCAGCAGTTATTAAACAGTTTAACAATCAAGAGTGTTAAGTCATACTCCCTCCGTCCCTAATTTTTTACCCCATTGGAAAAATATAAGTCAAACTTTAAAATCTTTGACCATAAAATACTCTTAACCTATAAGAGACAATATAATCATGTGGGATTTTGTTGGATCCGTCACATTGTATATTTTATTAATATCTAGTTTTTTAAAATTTTTACACTTATAAATATGGAGATAAAACCATTGTAAGACACGTCTTGGATACCGTGAAAAGTCAAATGGGGCAATATATTAGGGACGGAGGGAGTACTATATACTGAATTGAGGCTACTCCCTCCGTCCCATAATACTTGACACAGTTATCATTTTCGTCCGTTCCAAAATACTTGACACGTTACTAAATATGAAATGAGACAACTATAAAAAAATATTTTCCTATACTCTCTTTGGGACCACAAACCCCAAAACCGAATTAAATCCTACATTTTCTCTTTTCTTACTACCCCCACCTCCCCCACTTTTTGTTTTCTTACAATATAAAAATACATAAGAGAATCTTTTATATAATACAAATATTTTAAATGGACCTACTTGTAATTTTCTTAAACTATGTGTCCACCCCAACGTCCCAAGTATTATGGGACGGAGGAAGTATTACATAGTTTCTTAATCCTATTCTCATAATTAATCATTGGTGTTATCTTTGAGAAAATTTGCCACTAAGGGAATTGCAAAAACTGTGTCTAAAACACTATGCTGGAACTTGAAGGAGACAAGTAATGCTTGTCTCAGCTCTTTGAATGAATTTGTGCAGGGCTGTATTCATAAGATTTTTGATGTTGCTTAATTTATCCTTTGTAGTTCTGAAGCCAAGCCAGTTCTTGAAGATGGGCTTTCTGATGTGGCAGCCAGCCTCTTAGCAGCACATGACAGTGGTGAGCTCAGTGCAGCACTCCAAGAAGGCCATTCTGGCTGGAAAAAATGGGTCAAGGGTTTTGGGAATTCATTAAAGCGCAAGGTATTTTTTTCCCCTTTGAGGTGATATGATTCTGTGTCTTCCCTCTCCTTTCTCTCTCTGATCTTATCTCACTGGAATATGTCATGGCAGGGTAAAGCCCTCTTTATGCCCCTCCGAGTGTTGCTGACAGGAAAGCTCCATGGTCCAGATATGGGAGCTGGTATTGTTCTTTTGCATAAAGCAGGGACTACTGGTATTGTAAATCCTCAGTTTGGATTCATAACATTAGATGAAAGGTTCAAAATGCTGCGGGAAATTGACTGGGAGTCATTCAAAGCAGACCCTTCTGCACCCGAACCAGCTACCACTGCAGCACTTTGAGATGCAACATAATTTGGCGCTTTTCCCCATTTCCATAGCCAAGTTGTTGCAATTTTGACCTTGAAGAGTAGCAATGCCTATTTTGCAGCCATTTTACTAGGCTTTTGTATTTGAAACTGGTTGATAGAATTACACAGCAATTGGATGCCTGGTTTTCGAGCACTGACCCGTCAATTGTTCAGACTTGTATGTTTTGATAGTTCTTGACTGATTTAAGGTGAAATTGTGTATACATGACACTTTCCATACCTCTCCATAAGTGTTTGGTCGAACATCAGAGCAAGAGATGGCGAATTGGTAACAACTGTTCTCACTGACCCAGTCTTTTTATTTGTGTAATACAAATTGGTCTATTCTTTGTTTTAGTTGCAGAATCATGACCAACTTGTTATTTATTAAGAATCTCATAGGAAGACCAAGTAAAGTCTACTCTATTGGATTCAGAGTACTTTACAGCGCAAATAAGTACACTTGAGCAGTTTTATAATTAGCCTGACCATTCAAATATGTGACCCAATAATAGTTAATACTTCATAGCACTTACTCCGTAATATACTAATGAGGTACGTCGCTTCAAATTATTCATTAATACTGGATTTCCATGACAAAAGGTTTTTTTCAAGAGAAATTTAATAATATTTAGGATAATTTGCAAATTACCACCCAAAAATAGTATCAATTTCTAAATAACCACCTAATTAAAATTTTATTTTAAATTACCACCCATTAAATTAAAAAAACGCTCAGATTACCACCCATTTTGTTTTTCCGGTGAAATTTCCGTCGGTGGGCCCCACTTTTTTTATTTTTTTCCTTTTTTTTCTTCTATTTTCTGGCTTTCTCACTCTCTCTCCCCGATTTTTTCACTCTCCTTTTTCCTACCTTCTTCCTTTCTTCATGCTCAAATTCATGCTCAAATTTTCACCAAACCTTAACAACCGAAACAACTTCTCCTCTTTCCTTTTCCCTGTTCCCAAATTCCCTGTTCTTCTCCTTCTGGGCTCTCTCTGTGCGCAGCTTGCCTTCCGCTGCTGTCGCCGCGCATTTCAGCCGCCGCAGCCGCAACCACAACCACAACCGCAACCATAGTCGGCGTTAACGCGTAAAACGCGATTCTTTCTCTCTCTTCAAATATAACTATCGAAATTAAATCCCTTTTCCCCAATTAAATTTTTTATTTTTAGGGTTTACAGATAACAATGGAGGAAATAGACCATTACATAGTTCTTGGGTTAGTTACAGGAGAAGAAGGATCAAAGCTCACTGAGAAAGAAATTTCCACAGCATATCGAAAAAAAGCTATTGAATTACACCCAGATAAAAATCTCAACGACCCAGATGCTCCAGCTAAGTTCCAGAAACTTCGAGTTTCTTACGAAATTCTCAAAGATCCTAAAGCTAGGAAATAATTCGATGATTTACTTAGGGTTAGGAGAGAGAAGAAGGTTCGGGATAAGCAATTCGATGCGAAACGACGTCGGATGATGTCGGATTTGGAGGAGAGAGAAAGGGCATCGTTTGTTGATCCGGAGAAGAAGGCTCGTGATGAAGAAGAGGCTATTATGAAGAAATTGGCTGAGGAAATTGCTAGAATTAAAGCTAGTTTGGCGAAGAAACCAGTTTTTGAGAAGGAGGAGAGGAGAGAGAATGTGGGTGGTGTTGGTGGGGTTGCATTGGATAAGAGTAAGGTGTTGAAGGTGAGTTGGGAGAAGGGTGATTCCGAATATAGCGCGAGTCGATTGAGGGAATTGTTTGAGGAATTTGGAGATGTTGAAGATGTTGTGATTAAGGGTTCTAAGAAGAAGAGTTCTTGTTCTTCTGCACTTGTTGTTATGGGATCAAAAGAGGATGATGTAAGTATCGAAATTTATGTTTAATTTGAGCATGAAGAAAGAAAGAAGGTAGGAAGAAGAAGAGTGAAAAATCGGGGAGAGAGAGTGAGAAAGCCAGAAAATAGAAGAAAAAAAAGGAAAAAAATTAAAAAAAGTGGGGCCCACCGACGGAAATTCCACCGGAAAAACAAAATGGGTGGTAATCTGAGCGTTTTTTTAATTTAATGGGTGGTAATTTAAAATAAAATTTTAATTGGGTGGTTATTTAGAAATTGATACTATTTTTGGGTGGTAATTTGCAAATTATCCTAATATTTAAAATATTTCTTGATACTAATATTAGTTAAAAACCAGAGAATTGTTCAAACAAAATTTCATGAGTTTTTTCACTTTGTTCTATTGGATGTTCTTTGTAATTCAATCACTTGTTGAAAATATTAATATGTAATGTGAAAAGCAAATAACTGCTCTTCAGCTTATATATATACTCCATATTTACTTTCTTTGAGACATGACAAAGTATTCTTCCATCCATTTACATATTAACCAAACAACCACTATATATATTTCTTTTTAAAATGATCCATACTTACAAATTTACAATGAGCAAACCCATTTATACAAGCAATTAACAAAACATTGAAACCGACATAGTATAATACTAATAACAGTGTACAATAGAATCTTAATTCTCAAATTCATTTACACAGTCAACATAATACAATCTCCTACATAAAAAGTCCATTCAAACTTCAATGTCTTAATCCACCATTATAAAAGTATTTAAATTTAGTATTATAAATTAATAATGCTCGCTTAGCTTAATAACATAACATAACTCCAATATTAAGAAATTAAATTAAATACCACGTGTCTGCTAAATTCTTCCCCATTTTCTCTTCAGACCCAACACCAACAAACTTCCTTCTTCTTCTTCTTCCTTTCGATCATCTTTTTCAGTATTACTTCACATTGTCTTCACCTTCAACAAAACTCTCATATTTTCTCTCTCCTCCTCCATTAATGGCGATCTTCATCTCAGATCTCTGATTTCTCACTTTCTCTCTCCTCTTCATCAATGGCGTCGTCTCAATCTCTCGGCGGTTCAACTCGCTGCGGCAAAATCCTCGGTCCATCCTTCGACAAAATCATCAAGAATGTCGCATGGCGGAAGCATACAAACCTTGTCGCCGCTTGTAAATCCGTCATTGATAAGCTTGAAACCCTAACTGAACAACCTTCTCTTTCTCTCTCTTCTCCGATCCCTACATTATCGCCTTCCGACGCCGACGCTTTTCTCTCTCCTCTACTCCTCGCGCTCGACACCGGTTCTCCGAAGATCATCGATCCTGCTCTTGACGCTCTTTTTCGCCTCTTCTCGAACAATCTTCTTAGGTTTGAGCTCGATCGTTCTTCCGATGATAACAGCAATTCTCTCGTTTTTCAGCTGATTGAATCGGTTTGTAAGTGTTGTGGTTTGGGAGATGAGCTGGTTCAGTTTTGTGTGATGAAAGTGCTGTTATCGGCGATTAGATCTCCGTTTGTTGAGTTTAGAGGTGATTATCTTAACCACATTGTTAAAACTTGTTATAATGTTTATTTAGGGGGTTTGAATGGGACTAATCAGATCTGTGCTAAGGCTGTTTTAGCTCAAATTGTGTTAATTGTATTCGCTCGTGTTGAAGAGGATTCTATGTTTGTTAGTAATTTTAAAACGATTACGGTTTCGGAGTTGCTTGAATTTACTGATAGGAATTTGAGTGAAGGGAATTCGGCTCAATTGGTTCAGAATGTAATTAATGAGGTTATGGATTGTAATGGAGGGGTTGAAGATTTTAATCAACATACCGAAAACTCCCTGAATGGAAATGTGAATGTGGATGGGAATGAGGATAAGAATGGTGGTGATGATTCAGGGGCGAAACCGGAGGAAAATAGCGAAGCAGGGGCGAAAGTGGAGGAAAATACTGAACCAGGGGCGAAAACGGAGGAAAATAGTGAAGAGGGGAAACCAGTGGTGAAAAGTGAAGGACTGGGAGGATCAGGGGAAAGGGAGAGTTTGCTTAGAGAGGATGGTTTTATGCTGTTTAAGAACTTGTGTAAATTGTCAATGAAGTTCTCTTCACAGGAGCATTCTGATGATGAGATTTTACTAAGGGGGAAAATCCTATCTTTGGAATTGCTGAAGGTGATTATGGATAATAGCGGTCTTGTTTGGTGCTCGAATGAGAGGTAACTTTCTGAATTTTGTTCTTTTACTCACTGTTTTATCAATCATGTTTGATGTTGCTGTTGTTTAATTTATGATTAGGTACTTAGTTTTTATGCCCGGTTCAATAGCTGCTGTACAATATAATGACATTGGCACGGTACATTCAAAATATATGAAAGAATATTTAGGTGCACTGTTGTGATAAATGAAGAAAAGCTCTTTTGAAAGTACCTAATACTGGTCTTGTAGTTGCTCTTTTGAAAGAACCTAATACTGGTCTTGTAGTTATGTTTTATTTATGTATATTTTAATTTGATTTTGAGGAAACTAGGTTGGTCCTTTTATTAGTGCTCAACCAAACTTATTTCAAATAAGGATGTGGAGCGAATCATCAAATTCATCAAAACAATTAAACTAAAAGAGATTGAATCAATTTTTTACCGAACATTGACCACTGCAATTTGTTGGCCTCTTGTAAACAATGTTGGATAATAAAAAAATCAAATTGGCCGGAGTCTTTTAGAGTATCATCAATCACATTTTGGACTTCTGAATTTCTAACCCACTTCTTAGGACTTTAATAGTGTGTAGACTGTCTCTTTCAATTTTAGTCTCAAGAAATCTAATTAAACATGGTGCATGTGAGGTTTAGTTATGAGGTGCTCATGAGGTACATATTGTACATCTAAGGTGAATTAGGTACACCTTTCTCATTACCAAAGCTAATTAAAATATTGTGTATGACCCTGCATTTGCCAAAGCTAATTTATTAGAGATTAAAATTAGATTTAGCATTGTGATCTTTGGTATAGGTTGCCTTTGATTGGAGTCTAATTTGAAGTAATGGCTTCTACCAATCCATTCATATAACGACCTAAATGTTGAGTTGGGAATGAAGATTATAAGTAGTTTTTAATTATAGATCTAAATATTTGAAAGTGGAATAATAGAAAAAAGAAGTATCGGAAGGTGTTGGGAGTTAGGAGAAAAAGATTGATGGGATGGAGAGGTATGAGGGAAGTAAGTCTGAAGAGGAAGTTTTAACCTTATTTCAGACTATGCGAAATTGTATGTGTGGCTTAACTGACTTCATTATGGGACAATGGAGGTATTGATGCTCATAGATACGAAGTAGTTTTGTTTGTTTGCTGATCATAAGGTATATATACAAATTTCTGGTGTAAGAAATCCGGAGTTGAAGCCATGACATTATAGGTAAAAGTTGAGAACCTTTTGTAAGATGAAACACATACAAAAGCAAATCTTGATATATTTGGATTCAGTTTTTCCTAATTTAGGCTACAGGACTGGTTAATATTTGCGTAGTGCAACTATTGTAATTGAATATTTAGCAATATCAATGAGTGGGGAAGAATTTCCTACACTTGAGGTACCCCCCCCCCCCACCACCACCACCACCACTGGTGCCTGAGGGTTGGAGAGGGAAAGTTAGTGAGGAAACTAAGTGAACTAAGGTCTGGGAAAGAATGGATCTCATGAGTAAGCTCCGGTATACTGGCTCTCAATGCCCTGGGCCTTACAGACAGACCACTTACTCACACTCTCAGGACCACAGACCACTTACAGACAGCTTTCTGTGAAGCTGCTTCCTAGTGTATTTGTTTTTCACTCGCCTTCATTAATTGTTGTATCAATGATACAGATAACCATTATTTATGTTCCCGTCTGAATATTATTGAAATTATCTGTGCTCTTTCTTGCAGCTTCCTGAACATCATCAAACAGTTTCTCTGTTTGTCATTGCTGAAGAACAGTGCATTGTCAGTGATGACCATCTTCCAGCTTCTGTGCTCAATTTTTATGAGCTTGCTTTCAAAATTCAGATCAGGGTTGAAATCTGAGATTGGAATCTTCTTTCCAATGCTTATCCTTCGTGTCCTGGAAAATATAACTCAGCCTCGTTTTATTCAGAAAATGACTGTCCTTAACCTACTAGAGAAGATTTCTCAAGATCCACAGCTAATCATTGATATTTTTGTCAACTACGATTGTGACCTGGATGCTCCAAATATTTACGAGAGGTACTTCTGATGTCTAATCCTTTGTTTAGGTCTCAAATAGAAAAAAGGTGTGTAAAGTTTGCTTGTCTGGGAGTTATCTGTTTCCTTTCCAATGCAGATCTATTCTCTATCGTCTTTTGCATTGTTGATGTTGAATTATTTTGCTAGATTATTACTATTATTTTATGTCGTATGAACTTTTGCTATTAATTTGCAGTTTTTGCATCTCTCTGATCCATATCTGCTGTTGTGCTGACTCATTAGTAAATGACTTTTTTTCTAACGGCATGCATGAGGGTGATGAAGATTATGCAGAAAAAAAGAATACTCATGAATGTAAGCTGTGATAAATTGTGTCATTGTAGCAAATTTGACAGACTCTTCTTTTGACAGATTAAGTAGTTTTATAGATTGATGAGAGGATTTAATCCAAGATTTCTTCACACGAGCATAAGTATTTATAGTGTTTGATGATGTAGTGGTTTGTTAAATGGAAGTGTTTACAGTGTTTTGATGTCAATTAGGATGACATATTGATGAAGCATGATGATATCTTCTGTTTATCTGTTAATTCACTTTAGAAGTATATGTAATTGTGACAAACTTGCATCTTTGACAAACTTGCATGGTTAATGGTTTGGAATATATTTTGGTTCACATCTCTTATGATTTTTGAAAGTGTGTGCTAACTATGATTTTAATTGACCAGAGATGTCATTGGTTTTCTGCCTTGGTTATCAAAAAAACCTTAACCTCATATAACATGCGCTCCACATATTTTTCTGTGAAATAGTAGATATTTCTGCTGCACCTGATCCTTCTACAATAGGTGAGACCACGAGAGCTTTACTAGAGACATTTGATCCACGGTCTGTTTTGAGCAGGAATTGCCATGGTAGTGGTAAGATCAAAAAATAGTAATTGAACCAAAGGTTGTTTGGATGAAGATTGAAAAATGCAGTGCATTAGATTAGTCTATTTGTTGGTGAGATAAGACCAACTAAATTAATATATTTGTTTTTCAGTATTGATGAGTAACAGTATAGGCTTATATATTAGACCAGTTATGGCCTTATGATTGACACTAGGATGTAGAACATATCTGCCTGTTAACTCCATACTCATCTTTCTCACCCCTTTTGCATTTTCATGCCCATTTAATGATTTTTCATAATATGACAGATCTGAAAATCTATATAAGCTCTTATAATTCCATCAGATGTTTGCAGGACGGTTAATGGCCTTTTGAAGACTGCTCTTGGTCCTGCACCTGGTTCTACTACACCATTGTCTCCAGTTAAGGATCTTACATTTCGAGTTGAATCCGTTAAATGCCTAGTTAGAATTGTCAAGTCAATGGGAGTATGGATGGACCAGCAACTGAAAATTGGGGAGACTTCTTTGTCGAATAGATCCTCTGTGGTGACTGGCTCGGTAGACATGCATTCTGCCCTGAATGGAGAAGAGGGAATGATTGCTGAGTATGAACTGCTTCCAGAATCAAATTCTGAGTCATCTGATGCTGCAACACTTGAGCAACGCCGAGCTTATAAACTTGAAATTCAGGTTTTTTTGCCCTTATAATTTATTGAGGTTCAAAACCTTTGGACTTTGGTTTTGCTTTTTGTGATATAATATATACTGTGTATTGACCTTAGGATGCTTATCTAGAAAAATGAAAGAAGGTATATTAATACTTGTTTATCTAGCCAACAATTGCTTGAGTATGGAACCTTGTAACATCACATAATTTCTTGAACTAAAAAAACTGTTTCTTGTCCTATCTCATGGCAGACAATCCTTTCATATCAACGTCTAGTCTAAACTTCAGCGGTTGAAAGTGATCGTCATTAGTCATGTCAACCTGAAAATTATATGTTGATTAACATCTCATGTCCATGGAAGTTGAAATGTACCTTTTTCTGACTTTCATCTGAGCAGTCCAAGGTCATGTCAAATAGATCCTTCTTTTTGGACTACTGTGCAGTCCAGATACATAGAAAAGTCACAAAATTGAACAGAGAGAACCTAGGATTAAGAGTAGTTGGAAAGAATAAGTCATGTTGGCTTCAAGGGTTTCACCTTTCCTTAGTTTGAAAGAGGTACTCTAGAATAATGTCCAATTGAAGAGCATAGGCCGATATTAATTCCATGGATTTTAACTATTTTTGTAAGTTGGTGGTCATTTAGGTTCAAATTTGAAGTAACCTTATTATTATTATTAATTATCAATGTTACTCCGTATTATTGTTTAAGAAAAAAACCTATGTCCTTTAAACTTATAAACTAAACCCGCGTTACAGGAGTTTTGGGTTTAACACTGATATTTTAGCAACAAATCTAATGAATATGATTGTAGTAGTGCTTGGTGTATTGATCTTTTTTGGAAAGGGAGTGTGTGCGTGCTTTATATTTTAAGAATAGGCTGGATTCAACCAACTTTATCCTAGTCTTATGCTTGCTGCAGTGGTAAGTTTTGTAATCGTAAGTCATCTAAGATATATTTCTTTTTATGATATATCTTTTTCCGTTCTCATCTACTTTTCCTCTTCACACCATTACCATGTTTTATTACTCTAAATCTTCCCCATTTTTTTGGTGACTTTTGTAATTTTACGATATATCCCTATCAGCCATCTTGATTCCTGGCCCATTTATCAAATTAGTTTCCATTCTTTCTCCAGTTCTTGTTTAATTGGACTACACTTTTCAAAAAAAAAAAAAAAAATCCCCTTACACAATAGCCATTTTCCGAATATAAGCAATATCACATTTTTAGTGTTTAACAGCTCCTCTTTTTTTTTTTTTTTTTTTGGGTTTTTCTATATAGTAACCTTGTCAATTTCGTTTTTCTACGTTGTGCCCCAACATATATCACTTTCCACACTGTAACCCCAATATCCATTTTGTTTCCATACGGTAATCTTGCCGTTAAAAAATCTGTTAATGGGGCCCACTCTCCATTTATTAATATTTTTTTTATCGATTTACACGTTGGAAAATATCCCGTTAAAGGTTTTGGGGGATATTTTGGCCCTTATGGGTCCAAATTGAACTCAGATTTCACAAAAAAAAGTAACGTAAATGCCTCGTTTTGCGTATTAAAACGTGAACACGTAAATCGAGTCATTTCTTAATAAGCAAAACGAGGCATTTAAGTTATTTTTTTTGCCAAATCTGAGCTCAATTTGGACCCTTAAAGAGCTAAAATAGCCCCCAAAACCTTTAACGAAAGGTTTTTCAACGCGCAAATCGATAAAAAAATATTAATAAATGGAGAGTGGGCCCCACTAATGTTATTTTTTAACGGCGGGATAATCGGCAAGGTTACCGTATAGAAACAAAATGTATATTGGGGTTACAGTGTGGAAAGTGATATATGTTGGGGCACAACGTAGAAAAGTGAAATTAATAGGGTTACTATATAGAAAAACCCTTTTTTTTTAATTAAAAAAATTTGAAAAGGGAAAATTAATCTCGATCAACTAGAACTTTGAGATGTCTACAAAATTTGATTAACACAAGTATGAAATACTCATTTTCTATACCCAATAACAAAAAAAATAGTGTAATTTTACTCCAACAACTACTCAAAGTCTTCCATACTTCTGATATTGATGTTAGTAGCGTTTGTGTTGTATTCCTTACAATACCTTGTTCCTGTTTACAGTTTAAACAACCCAAAGTTCATGGCAATAGAAAATCTTTTCTTTTAATAATTTTCTAGCTTTTGAAGAATCGTAAGTGGTATTTATATAACTATGTTGTAGTGCTGTTTATTTTTGTATTGGTTGGAGTTTTGTTCTGCCTTAATTGAAATCCTGGATCTGCTTCTGAACAGTGATCCTTTATTTGGACCAAATCTTAGACATCTTCATGAAATAGTTGAGTGTGATACCTGGACACTGATGTGGACACATACCTTTTTCAATAGTACCTGTATCCGAGTTACATAGCTTGTGCACTAACACGTTCCATGTGTATCATGCTGAAGATAATTTGTGGCTTCCATCTAAAAGTATTAGGCTCGTTTTTTTTTTTTATACTAAGCATTGTTAATCTTTTAGTAAACTCTTGAACAAATGTTTATAGCTCTATTTTTTATTGATTACTCTCCTTTCCATGTGCAGAAAGGCATCACATTGTTTAACAGGAAGCCTTCCAAAGGTGTTGAATTCCTAATCAACACCAAAAAAGTTGGTGGTTCCCCTGAAGACGTAGCCTCTTTTCTGAAGAACACTGCTGGACTGAATCCAACTGTTATTGGGGACTACTTGGGAGAACGAGAGGATTTTCCATTGAAAGTTATGCATGCTTATGTTGATGGATTCAATTTTGAAAAAATGGATTTTGGTGAAGCTATTCGGTATTTTCTGCGGGGTTTCAGATTGCCTGGAGAGGCTCAAAAGATAGACCGAATCATGGAGAAGTTTGCTGAGCGCTACTGTAAATGCAATCCTAACTCATTTAAAAGCGCAGATACAGCTTATGTCCTTGCTTATTCTGTTATAATGCTCAACACCGATGCTCACAATAACATGGTCAAAGATAAGGTGAGCTTTGTGTTTGAAATGTTTGCTTTCTATTTGATGATAAGGAGACTAATCTGCCATTAATCTATCTGTGGGATGTTTGGTAATTCTTAAATAGTCCTCATTTCTTATTCATATAATTTAATCTGGCACCACCAAATTTTATTACTTATAACTGTTTTTTTTTTTTTTTTTTTTGACAAAATATTCTCCAGATGACGAAAGCTGATTTTATTCGGAACAATCGTGGAATTGATGATGGCAAGGACTTACCTGAAGAGTATCTAGGTGCTATATATGATCAAATCGTGAAAAATGAAATAAAAATGAATGCCGAAACTTCTCAACCACAGAGCAAGCAGGTCAATGGGTTGAACAGGTTGTTGGGCTTGGATGGTATACTGAACTTGGTCATGGGGAAGCAGCCCGAAGAAAAGCCATTGGGTACTAATGGCCTTCTTATCAAGAATATCCAGGAGCAGTTTAAGGCAAACTCTGGAAAATCAGAGTAAGTCCCATGTTAAATAGCGTTTATTTCCTAAAAATATTAATATTCTACAGACTACCTCTATGTAAAGCAATACGCCCCTTTTATTAATAGATGCCTAAAAATCAGCAGATTTGAATGGACTGAGGTCATGATAAATGCTTTTGTCTCGTAGCATCAAGAAAGCTGCAAATTTTACAGCAACTCTTGAAAACCATAGCCTAACAATTTTGCTCACCTATTGCTCAAGTGAATGTAACCTTTTTTTTATTATAGTTGGAGGAAGGGTATATATAGTGCCTTTCAATTGGCAGTGATATGAAAGCCTAATCATTCCCACATATGATGTGGCATGAAGTGGCATTTACTTGATGTCTCCATCAACATTACTTGTTTTAAGGAATGGTTGAGTTTTGAACGAAATATCTCATCCATGCAGTTTGATGACATATGTATAATCACTAACACTCCAAGATTAGTGAGAATATGCTAATAACAGATGCACTATGTACAAGGGGCCATAATAATTTATTTTTAAATTAAGCATGGAGGATAATGCATCTGTGATACAACAGCCATCACTGTGTTGACCACCCCTCCCTTGGTCCTCTCTCCTCTCTACCATCACTACCAATGCTTAGTCACCGCAAGACCACAAGCCAACTCTGTCCATATGGATAATAGCACACAACATTTGATGGTAATTGGGGCAAGTCATCATCACCATCTCTTGCTTAGCCTCCACCAGTCCACCTTCACACCACATCATCTCTCCAGCATGACTTTAAACAATGAACAATAACTATGCTTAAACCTATGCATTACAGAAATACTAACTTCCTTCTAAAGTTTTCTATAGAATTTTGCATTGCATGGATTAATCACTTGTAATTTCTTAAAGCCTTTCACATGTTTACTGGTGTTGTTTGTTGACATTGGGCAAGGCAGGTAGCAAATATCTAGTATCAACTAATTATTTTTTTATTAATAACACTAGTTTGAGATTTAAATAATCAAGGAAAGAGTGGTTTGTCTGTGTGTGTCTCCAGTAACTTATCACAAATTAAAAGCAATTGCGTATTGGTATCTTTATCATGTATGAGAAAAGATCTTAGTGTTAAAGGCAACATTGCTTTGTTGCAGGTCTGTTTTTTATGCAGTTTCGGATGTTTCAATATTGAGGTTTATGGTAGAAGTTTGTTGGGGTCCTATGCTGGCTGCCTTTAGTATGACACTTGATCAGAGTGATGACAAGTTAGCTACTTCAGAATGTTTGCAAGGCTTCCGATATGCTGTACACGTAACCGCAGTCCTAAGTATGCAGACCCAAAGAGATGCTTTTGTGACCTCTCTGGCCAAATTCACTTATCTTCACTGTGCAGCAGATATGAAGCAAAAAAATATTGATGCTATGAAGGTAAGCCTTTTTAAAGTTATTGAGGAGAAGAGACAATCATTGTTAATGTGAAAAGCTGCTTAGCTAGTTGATGGTGCTGTTCATGCGAACTATAAAAACTTATGCAAAAACAAAATAACAGAGTATCTTATCTTAATGGAGTTATGTTGTCTCTTCAGCTGTGTTGCATAGTTTCATTAACCAGTGATAATATTTATACAACGCGTTAATGTAATTATGTGAAGCATTCTAGACCATATCCAAAACTGTGTGCAAAACAATAGTTCCATACCATTTACTTTTTCTGCTCTGTTTTTATGTAGCAGGAATTGGTTAAACCCAACAATATTGAAAAGATGTCGCTCTGAGCACTCTCATAGTGGCGTCAAATTTCTTTCTAGTGCAAACAACGTATTACATGTTTACCTGCCATTTTCTTTCTGATGATGTGACACTTATTATTGCAGACCATAATGTCTATAGCTATTGAAGATGGGAATTACCTTCAAGAAGCATGGGAGCACATTCTAACATGCTTGTCTAGATTTGAGCATTTGCAACTTTTGGGAGAAGGTGTTCCACCTGATGCTTCATTCTTGAGCATGTCTAATGCTGAACCTGAACAGAAATCACTTAAGTCTAGTGAATTGGCTTCTCTAAAGAAAAAGGGAGCCCTTCAAAATCCAGCTGTGGCAGCTGTCGTTCGAGGTGGATCCTATGACAGCAGCGCACTTGGTGCTAACCACCCCAAACTGGTTACCTCCGAACAGGTCACTAACTTCATTTCGAATTTGCACTTGCTTGATCAAATAGGGAGCTATGAGTTGAACCACATATTTGCGCATAGCCAAAGGATGAACAGTGAGGCAATAGTGTCCTTTGTGAGAGCTCTTTGCAAAGTTTCAATGTCTGAGTTGCAGTCTCCAACTGATCCTCGTGTGTTCAGCCTCACTAAGATAGTTGAAATTGCGTAAGTCCACTTTGCTCCTTTAAATTTTCCATCAGAATTATCTTTTTGGGTTGAAATGTGTTGGTGTCTAGAATTCTTTTTTTTGTGGAGACCAATCCTTGAAGGTGTGTAGAATTTTTGGCTGTGACATTAGAGGTACGTCCATTTTCCTTATCCACATGTTATATGAAGTAGAGTATGGACCAATCCTAGTCCCAACAAGTGGTTGGTTCCACCTGTCATCATGGTGGTTATTTGGACCAAGCGTTAACAATGGGTTCTTGTTGCAGGCACTATAATATGAATCGCATCAGACTAGTGTGGTCTCGCATCTGGAATGTTCTTTCTGATTTCTTTGTGTCCGTTGGCCTGTCAGAAAACCTCTCAGTGGCGATTTTTGTCATGGATTCATTGAGGCAGCTTGCTATGAAATTCCTTGAGCGTGAGGAGTTGGCAAATTACAATTTCCAAAATGAATTTTTGAGGCCTTTTGTCATTGTAATGCAAAAGAGTAGCTCTGCTGAAATCAGGGAGCTAATAGTCCGCTGCATTTCTCAGATGGTCCTTAGCCGTGTCAGTAATGTGAAATCTGGATGGAAAAGTGTATTTATGGTAATTTCCTGCTTGTTTCATTTACTATCTCATATTATCTTATGATTACAAGTCTGGCAATATTGTTCATGTTTGTTATTAAGAAAACTTTATCCGTATATGATTCAATCTTACACCAACCCACCTAAGCCCTCACCCCTGAAAAAAGGAAGAAAAGAAACGATCTTATGACCATTTTGGTTTGGGTAGACTATCTATACGTAGCTGTTTGTTGCTAAATGTTTTTCTTTTCTTAGGTTTTTACAACTGCTGCTGCTGATGAACGGAAGAGTATAGTGTTGCTGGCCTTTGAGACTATGGAAAAAATAGTTCGGGAATATTTCCCTCACATAACTGAGACTGAGTCTACAACTTTCACAGATTGTGTTAAATGCCTCATAACCTTCACAAAAAGCAAGTTTGATAGTGATGTCAGCTTCAATGCCATTGCATTTCTTCGATTCTGTGCTCTTAAGCTTGCAGAAGGGGGATTGTTTTGCAACGAGGATAGCCAAGATGCCAATTCATATGATTTAAGTGACAGCGGGGTGACCTTTGATAGGCAACCTTCTATAAGTAAAGATGAAAATATTTCCTTTTGGATGCCTTTGCTTACAGGTAAATACATTGTATTATCTTTTAAACACTGTTTTTTATGTCTTGATGGGATTCAAACTTGTTCTTAAATCTCGCCTGGTCATATTTTGAACAAGTTTAGTTCATACTGTCAAATTTAGATACATTTTTTTTCCTAGTTGCTTCGGCAATAAATTTCTCGGTTTGTTATTTAACGTCTTAAGCTTTGTTCTGTTCATCTTAAGAAAATAATCAGGTTTAAAATAAGTTTAACCCAAGGCGATTTCACAACTGAAATAACTTTCTGTTAAATTCTACTATGTTCAAAAAGGTGTATTTCAGGTGAAAAGAATGAAGCCTAAAGTAGCATAGGATGACAAGCTAGTACTAGACAATACTTTAAGCTTTATGTAATTATACATACTGATTATTCTCTGTTTTCTGTTATAAATAAACTCAAGGATTATCAAGGTTGACATCTGATCCAAGACCAGTAATCAGAAAGAGCTCTGTTGAAGTTCTATTTAACATCCTCATGGATCATGGAAGCCTTTTTTCACGTCCGTTTTGGAGTGCTATCTTCAAATTTGTTGTTTTCCCTATCCTCAGCTGTAAAGATGATACAGATGAAACTGAGGTGAATGATGACAAGTCACTTCAAACTACTAAAGACTCTTCTCATGGTACTCAATGGGACTCTGAAACTTCTTCAGTGGCAGCACAGCGCCTTGTTGATCTTTTTGTTACATTCTTCGCTGTCCTGAGGTCTCAACTACCAAATGCTGTTACTGTACTGGCTGATTTCATTAAGAGCCCAGGTCCTGGTCCTGCTAAAATTGGGATAGCTGCATTGGTACGTTTAACCAGTGAATTAGGAACCAGGCTTTCTGAAGATGATTGGAGAGGTATGTTAATGGCTATAAAAGATGCGGCTGCTTCAACTCTTCCTGGATTTTTAAGGGTCTTAAGGACTATGGATAACATAAATATTCCTGATGCCATGCAATCCTATCATGGTCTCGATTCTGACAATGAAATATCCAACAATGATCTGGAGGACGACGACCTGCAAACTGCTGCATATGTGGTTTCAAGAATGAAAGGTCATATTGCAGTTCAGTTGGTCATCATACAGGTTTGCTTTTCCCTCTCTTTTACCACCTTTATATTTGTTTACTTTTCTCCTTTTTGGAAGCCTAAATGCATTGCTTGTTGTCTTTCTCTGGGTGTCAAATTGTCAATGGGTTAATAAATGGCCATGGTCCTGTTGCGGGGAAGAAGCCTTGCTTAGTTTTACCTCTCCTCACTGGGCATTTCATGTTCACTAGCTGCCTGCAAAGTTCGAGTTCTAAGAGAAATGATGGTTTTTAGCTTTGAACATTCTTCCCTCTTAGTTAACTGATGTTTTCTGTTTAATTTATCCTAAAAATAGAGTAAAACAGATTGAACCCATTCTGTCAAATGTGGACTTTCTTCAAACCTGTTGTGTCCTGTAATGGATTTGTGACTTTTCATTAGAGGGAGAAATGGCGGTTGGTTGCCAACAAGTTGAAATTGCTTAATAAATAAATAAAAAAGAAAGTTGAAAGCCTGACATTGCAACCCACTAATTTGCTTTTCTATTGCAGCTTGTGACTGATCTTTACAAGACTCATCATGATGGTCTCTCAGAATCTAACCTCAAGATACTTCTTGAACTTTTTTCCATGATTTCATCTCATGCCAACCAACTAAGCTCTGAAGGTATCATACTGAGGAAGCTTCAGACAGTGTGCAATATGCTAGAGCTCACTGACCCACCTGTGGTTCATTTTGAAAATGAGTCTTACCAGAGTTATCTAGAATTTCTTAATGACTTGGTTTTAGAAAGACCAACAACTACTCCAAAAGATATCGACTTGGAAGCACAGGTTGTAGCCGTTTGTGAGAAAATACTAGAGATGTATGTGGAGTGTGCTGGGACTCACTCCAGCAAGCAAAAGCCTGCAGATGAGCCCGAGGCACATTGGATCCTTCCATTGCTTTCAGCAAAAAAGGAAGAACTTGCAGCACGGAGTACTTTGCTTTTATCAGCATTACGCACATTGAGTCGGTTGGAGAAAGATTCATTTAGAAGGTACATTTCACGTTTATTTCCCTTGTTGGTTGATCTTGTGAGAAGTGAACACAGCTCAAGAGAAGTATTGCCTATTTTGAGTGATATGTTTCAAACTTGTATAGGACCAATAATTGTTGAGTCATAATTTAGAATTTTTTTGGTATAAATGAGTCCGCCCAACCCCACCCCACCCAACACCCCCAAGGTCCCTGTCTAGGACTTCTTTCACCACCACCATCTTATGATAGCTTAAATATCACCAATACCAAAATTTTGTACCTAAATAGATTTTGTAGAATGTGTTACAGATGTAAAAGCGAACACTTTAGAGTCCACATATTAGCCAGAGTTTGTCCATGAACTTGTGATGCTTGTTAATTTTAATAATTGCCTCGTTTCTTCCATTGCTAAATGTATTCTCGAACTGTCGTCATTTTTTTGAACTTTTAATTGATTGAACTGTAGAGTTGGATACATATGCGTAGAAATGTTCTTTTGATTCTTTTTCATTCTTGATTGTATTCTATGTGCCATCAAATACCAGTTGTTAGATAATGGCTTTATCCCAAACATGATCCCCAGTGCTGGCAACTATGGCTTTCGTCGTACTGATCTCCAGGTTGCTGAGTTGCATTGTAACAATACTGACAGCTCAAAACACACATGAAATTTCGACCTTTGAAATAATTGAAATGAGTAATTGAGCAAGTACCTTTTCCAAGTTCATATGGCCCTTTGATTATGGTTGAAACCGCTGTTATGCTTATAATCATTTTGGCTTTGTATTATAACTACAATCCAAATGGCACATACTAGCTATAACTAGAACCTTAATTACATTAAAATACACTGCCCGTCCCACTCCTTACTGTCTATGCTATACATTAGACCTTTGTCATATCATACCGCAATTGCAGTGATTTGATTTTTGTACTGTTTATATACTTTACTTTGATTGTCTTTGGTAATTTATATGAACTTCTTACGACTTTTATTTATAAATGAATTGATAGATGATTTAATCGTCAAAGTTGTACTCAGAATTTACTAATCGTAAAATTTAAAAAGGTTACAACTAAAATAGAACAAATGAATTAAATCCTAATCAATATTTTAGCCTTTTGTATTTCACTCTTTCACCATGCTAATGCTTGAGAATCATTGAGGGAGCATGTTTACCCCACTATTTACTTTTAGATGGGCAATTTGTGGTAGAGGAAGTATTAAATACTGTTTCGGATCAACATATAGTGCTAATTTTTCAACGATATATCTAGGTTTTGGTTACACATCTTTATTCTGTTTTTTTTTTTTTTTTTGTTCAATCAACAGAATCCTATTCAAATCATAATCAAAAACGTTTTTGTTCCGAAATAATATTTTCATTATATAGATCACTTTTTAAATTTAATTACAGGATTACAGGAAAGTACTTTAAAATAATACTTTCAAAAGGATAAGAATGGGGATGTAAACTAAAACTTAGCGGAAAATAACTTGACTCTTTTATGCAGTTCTGAAAACTCTCAAAAAGAATTTTGAGGCTGTTTGGTTGAACTTTTTGGAATGGATTGGGCTATTTGGTTTTATTTGTTTGGTTGGGCTATTTAAATTTGTAATCTCATACTTGGGGATTCTAACTCCATCCCATTCCATTGGAATCTCATACCCACCTCCCTCCTAAAGATTCATAATCCATACTACCACTCAAGTATAATAATCCATTCCATGGTTAAACCAAACAATTTTAAATTGATATGGGATATAGAATCCATACCACTTAAGTATGAGAATCCATACCAATTCATTCCATAAACCTTCTTATACTTGTACCCGAATAAGTTACAACGGCATCACATATGGGGGGGAGAGGGTTCAAATATACGGAGTATATAGACTATATATACAATGCACAACCCTTTGATTTTCGTCGTTATGTCAAGATCTCACTAGTTCTCATACTCAAATTTGAAATTATGGAGTAGAATATAAGAAAAACACTCAATTAAAACTCCCAAATTATTTTAAAAAACTTACCAAAGGAATCATTCAGTTTATCTTCCTTCATTTTCAATTCAATTTGGAATTTACTATATGATGCTACCGTCCAAGCACAGCACATGTAGTCGATGCAGACCAAAAATCAAAGACTGTAACATAACACAGGTTACGACTTACAACACATTACGACTTATTTGAAGATCTAGTTGCACCGGACACTTGGCTGTTAGTCATCAATTTCTCTGCCTACAGATCCAAGATTCCCTCAAATAAAATATCAAGATTCTCTAGATCATGTTGAGTTCAAGTATCATTTTTAAGTTGCTTAACTATAGATTTTAAGTTAGTGTAATCATTTTCTAATAGCCATCATTAAGCAGATTTCATATTTGACCTAAAATTCACTCATAGAGCGCTCGTAAGTAAACGCTATATTTCTTATATAAAGTATATAATTTCGAGGTTTTTGTTTCGCACTCTTAGGACTTTAATCAATTAATATAAACAACTTTAATTTCCTCAAAAGAAAAATATCAATAACTTTAGCAAAAATAAAATAGTGAGAAATTATCATAAAAAGTAATGTGCAACTATGAATCTTAGCTACTACGTATTATGGTTAGTTAAAGTGTTGTGCATCCGTGCGTGGATGATAGTCAATATCTGAGATCAAATCCTATGTATTGAGATTACTAATAAAGTAGTGTGACATCTAGCAACCTAGGGCAATAACAAGTACGTAGCTACTTCCTTGATAGCATAGGTGTCGTGATGTGCCTTGCCAATAATTTTATAATGGAGTTTAAATTAATGTACTTCGTATTCTAATTGTTTCGAGTCATTGGCACTAAACCACATTTGGATCTTCTATAATTCTATTTAAAAATGGGTTAGGATTGGAACCTTGATGATCACATCATAACCTAATAGATACATAGCATATTCTAATTCAAATGTATAAAAGCATATCGCATCAAATCACTCCATGTACTCCATCGCTTAAATCTATCATCCATGAATTTGAATAGTCATAATCAAACACTTACCAAATTTTAAATTGTTAAATGTGTTAATATTGATGTAAAATTTATCATATAATTAATATATGCAATTTTTTTCCCCCTTTTGGATTGGCAAAAAGGAGGTTAAGGTATACGATAGATATTTTATTTAATTAATTTTATTTAGGTCTTAATTCACTAGGACATTGCAAATTACAAATGAAAGAGGAGGATTCGAACTACTCATGTAACTTATCATACATAGTCTTGTCATTAGATTGATGGCGTCGTGTTGAATCATTGGTACTATGTTTCCAAGAAGATCTCATCCATGTATTATTTCCAAAACATTTCTCCACCGCGTAAAACATGAAAGTTGAGAATATCTTTCATGTCATTTTTAGAAAGTGGTTGAACTCTTATGTCCAAATCAGTTCGAGGGCATTGAGGAAAACGTGAATTTTGTCACTAAAAATGACATAAAAATCGTGAAAGACGCAATCATACTGGTCAAAACTATAATTAGCAATCAAATTAAAAAAAGACAATTGTGATTAGAAGTAGCTCCAAATGAAGTTTAATTTTCCAAATAGAAATCGAGTAGACAGCATGACATAATCAACATGCTAATTCGCTCATTGTTATTTCAATATTTCGGTACGAATTTACGAGATCACATCATAATATTCCGAATTTGATAGATTGTCATAATTGAATATTAAACTTAATAGTTAATATTTGTGTGAAAACAACTAGAATCAAATAGGTATCAAAAATCAATTGAAATTTGTGAGAAAACAACTAGAATCAATATCAAGATTATTATTATTTTATTATTATTATTATTATTGAAGAAAATCAACAACAAGATTTGAAACGCAATGCTTTAAAAGATATAGTCGAGAGAAAAAGGCCATAAGTTTAAATGTTAAGTTAATAATCCGCTTAGATTTAGATAAAATGTTAAGATAAATACACATAGGTAAAATAAGAATGACAAGCATTTTTGTTTAGTATGTTGTTCGTTGATTAAGGAATTAGCTTAATTCCCCCTTACAAAGAAAAACACTTATTAGGTCAAATAAGGTGAGTAGAACAACAACTTTGACGCAAATTGGTGGCTAGGTGGTATAGAATGAGGTGCGGTGGTGGTGGTGATGCAATTGGTGTCTACAGGATAATAGAGAAGGCAAGGAGGGAAAGGTAAATGGTTGGGACAAGGAGCAAAGATAACTCGAGGTTTTACATGAATCGAGTTTGGCCGAGTTTTAGTTAATTTGAAGTTGCTCGAGCAAAAATTCTTATTCGACTTATTGGCTCGATAGAATTTGGTTTATTTGAGCTTTGTTCACATACATGCTCAGTTGCATTTCAAATTTGAGTTCGAGATTGACTGAGTTTAAATCGAATTAGATAAAATAATTGAGTTTCAAGTACCTCGACCATCCATTTAATTTACTTGGACAAATATTCATGTGTAACAAACATTTTAATTTCATTAAAAGGCATACATAGATACTAAAGTAGTTTTAAAACGTCAATTATTATTTCTAGTTTCAACAACCTTACAAGCAAACATGAAGTTATGTTGTTCATTTTATTTACTCAAATTCATTTAATTTATTTATATTAACGACCTTAAAATTTTTGCTCCAACACCGATCTTGTTCATTCACTACTCACGAGTAGTTCACGGAACATCATTTCATTAACACCCCTAGCTAGATAATTAATCTACAACTAATATTCAAATCGTCGTTTATAATAGAGACTTTTTCTTAATTAAGGGACTTTCTTCGAACCACACTCTCTAATAACTCTCTTGCCCTCATAAGATCGAAGAGCCAAGTTTATTCAAACTATAGGCAATCAAAATTGAATGTTACTCATAACTTTACAAGACTTCTTCTAATACACTCTCTGACTCTGAATCTCATGCATAATGCATTAAGTAGATTAGCAAGTGATGACTAGTAAGACAAAAATCTTCGTACCATATTGAATAATTGCTACAAAATTTTAGTCTTTGATTGATATTTAACACAAATTTAATCTAATCATTGTATGGTTTTATTTTCCTTTAGTTTCTACTTTTAAGGGTTTATATTTTTCTACTACATAAGTACTATTGATTCATATTTATTTTTGTCACTATTTGACTCTTCTTTAATATGATAATATCATAGCACTTTGTCAATCAAATTGCTAGCCTTCGCCACATGATTTGGAATTTTGACCAACGACTTTCTCTTATGAAAAATCATGAACTTACATTAGGTATCTAAGAAAAAGCCATCAATTTGTTTGAATGTTTGATTATGCACTAGATTTTGGTGAACAAAACGGTGCGATTACGATGATGTACTATGTAGTGTTTGATTCCTATGAATTTTTTAGTTCTATTAATAGAATTTTCTTATTTTACTAATAGTACTTTTACTAAGTTAAGACAATATCTACAAATTAGATATGAATAGA